TTCAGGTGCACTGGGGGTATGTAAGAGAAATGGGGGGGCATTGCATTATTGATAAAAAGAAACTCCGTGTAATAATGAGAGAGGATGTCCTGAAAGGGTCTTCGAATGATGCCATCTGGATAGAGATTTGAAGCAAAAAAGAGAAATTACTTTGCTGGGATTGTACTGTAGGCCTGCCAACAGTCAGAGGGAGATAGAAGAGCAGATATGTAGACAAATCACAAAGGTGTGAAAGAAACTGGGTTATAGTTGTAGGGAACTTCAACTTTGCTAACTATCAACTGGGATCACTTTATTGTGAAAGGATTAGACAAGGTAGAATTTTTAAAGGAGAGCTTTTTGTGTCAGTATGTAGCTAGTCCTGCTAGAGGATGAGGCAGTGCTAGACGTCTTCATAGAGAATGAAGCTGGTCATGTGGTTGAAATGACAACAGGTGAGCATTTAGTGGATAGTGACCATAACACGAAGTTTCAAAGTCCTTGTAGAAAAGGAGTAAGGATATAACAGAAGTTGGTGAAAGGCTGATTTCAATATCATTGGACAGGATCTAGTAAAATTAGACTGGGAGCAGCTATTTGCAGGTAAGTCTACATTTGGAAAATGGGAGTCTTTTCAAAAGTAGTACGGTGAGAATTCAGGGCCAGCTTGTTTCTCCCTGCGTGGAGGGCAAGGGCAGCAAGGCCAGAGAAGCCTGGATGTCAACGGATGTTGTGAGTTTGATGAAGAAGAAGAAGGAAGCACATGTCAGATACAGCATCTTTTAAAAACAAGGTAGACCTTTCAAAAGTATAAATAGAGTGTAGGAGGCTCTTTTTTTAAAAAAAAAAAAAGAAATTAGGAGGACAAAGAGGGGTTGCGAAATATCTTTGGCAGGTGGGATCGAGGGAAAACCTCAAGGCTTTTTAAAACTATATTTAAAAGTAACAGGATTACCAGGGAAAGGATGGTACCTATTAGAGACCAAAAGGGCAGCCTGTGTGTGGGGGTAGATGGCGTGGATAAGGTCTTAAATGAATACTTCTCATCTGTATTCACTGAGCAGAAAAATATTGTCGCCATGGATTTCATTTAGGATTGAGATTCTAGAGCATCTTTTAGATTAATAAGGAAGAGGTTTTAGATATTTTGGCTGGCATATAGGTCCCCAGGGCCTGATGAGTATTCCAGGTTGCTATGGGAGACAAGGGGAAGAGATATTTAATACTTCACTGTCCATGGGCGAAATGCCAGATGACTGGAGGACAGCTAATGTGATCCCTTTTGTTCAAGAAGGGCAGCAGGGATAGGCCAAGGAATTACACACCAGTTAGTCTGACATCAATTGTCAGGAAATTATTGGAAAAATTTCTGAAGGACAGGCTTAATCAACACTTAGAAAGGCAGGGATTGATCAGGGATAGTCCTCGTGGATTTGTTAGAAGGAGATCCTGTTTGACTTATTTAATTGAGTGTTTTGCAAAGGTGACAATATATTGAGGAGTGTAGTGCAATTGATGTGATTTGCATGGACTTCAGTAAAGCCTTTGACAAGGTCCCACATGGAAGGCTGATCCAAAAGCTAAGACCCCATGGGATCCAAGGCAATGTTGGCAAACTGGATCCAAAATTGGTTTGCAAACAGGAGGCAATAAATGATGGTGGAGGGTTGTTTTTCTAAATGAAAACCTGAGACCAGCAGTGTACCACAGGAATCAGTGCTGGGACCTTTGCAGTTTATGAACATGAATGACTTGGATATGAATGTAGATGATTTAATTAGTACGTTTGCAGATGACATGAAAATTGGTGTGTTGTTGATAGTGAGGTCTCGGGCTGCATATTGGTCAGCTGATAAATTGAGCAGAGCAATGACTGATGGAATTTAACCTCAAAGTCTGAGTTGATGCATTTTGGGAGGCCTCATGAGGAAAGGTTATATGCAATGTATGGTGGGTACCCAGGGTGTCCTGAGGAACAAAAGGACTTTAGTTTACAAGTCCATAGATCCATGAAGATATTAGCACAGGTATATAGGGTGGTGAACGAGGCTTACTGGATGCTTGCCACCTTTAGTTGAGGTGAAGAATATAAGGTCAGAAATGACAATACATGATGGGGCTACACTCCGAAAGCTTGTGTTTTCAAAAAAGCCTGTTGGACTATAACCTGGTGTCGTGCGATTTCTGACCTTGTTCATCCCAGTCCAACACTAGCACCTCTATCATGAAGAATATAAGAGCAAGGAAGTCTTGTTCCAACTTGGAATACTGTATGCAGTTCTGGTTTCCACAATGTCAGAAGGATATGATTGCATTGGAGAGGGAATTCACCAGGATGTTCTGAAGAAAAGTTGCTGGACCCAAAATGTTAACTCTGCTTTCTCTCCACAGATGCTGCCAGATCTACTGAGTTTTTCTAGCAATTTGTTTTTGTTTCGCAGAATATTGCTTGGGATGAAAAGTCAGTTATGAGGAGAGACTGGATAGACTGGGCTTGTTTTCCTTGGAGTAGAAGAGGCTGGGGTTTGGTTCTGATTGAGGTACACAGAATTAGGAGAGGCATAGAGTAGATTGTGAGAATCTCTTTCCTATGGCAGATGTATCTAAGACCAGAGGGCGCAAGTGGTTTAGAGGAGATCCGAGGGGGAAAGAAACATTTGCATGCAGAGGGTAGTAGATAAATGGAACGTGCTGCCTGAGAGGATGATGGCAGCAACATTTAAGAAGCATCTGAATGAGTACTTAAAATGCGGGGCATAGTTGACTGTGAACCAAATGCAGGTAAATAGGATTAGTGTAGTTTGATGTTGGTTGGCATTGTCAATGCCATTTGGCATTGTCAAAGGATTGCTGTGAGAACAAGGAGTATAGCAGTCCAAGTGAAAGATCCATCGTCTTTCTCAGATGAGAGATGGGTAGTGCTGGTTTATTGGTGGCAAGACAGGTATCAAGGAAAAACAGACTTCACTGAGTAGCAGCACCTGATTGGAATTTGATTTGCTGTAGCCATGGTATTCTGGCTCATCTTTCTGCTGTTCAGTATTACCGGCGCAGATTCAGGGTAAAGCCTGGAGCTGGTAAGGAATTTGCTGATGTGTCAATACCTCGGGGGAGCTTTTGTTTTTAAAGAGTGAGGAATTGGAGTCATTGAGGGAATGTTCTAATGAAGTCCTCTTTCTCAATTACATTGAACATCTGAACTCGGATTAGTAAAGTTCTCAATACTGAACCAGGAAGAGAGAAGGTATTAGAATTTGAGGAAGCAGTCACATAATAGCAATGGCATTGCTTAAAATATTTAAATGGAAAGTAGAAATTGTAATCTAAAATGTTCAGATTTTCCAAATCTCTTGGTATTCTGATAGAAATGGAGGTCAGCATTGGAATTAGTTGTTTGAACGTATGCCTGTTAACTCACCATAGAGACTAAACCATAGCTTGTTTCTTCATGTCTCTTTTCAATGCTGCCTCCACCAGAAAACAGACAGCGAGTAATATGGTTTAGAAGCATTTGAAAGTTAATATTTATACTGCTGAGAAAATTGTGCTAAGTGTCAGTTTTCAAAACCTTGCATCCTTTTTACTGGGGGATTCGTGTATGTTGTGTACAACCAGAAGTAAAGGTGATAAGGCATCACAAAGCCCTGCTATCTAATCCCAGCTCAAGCAGCAAATCGTAAGATAGTAAACTTCTTATTCCTGTCTAAACTTGGTAAAACTTTTCAGCACTGATTTAACTGTTTGCATCTTTTTCTAACTGTACAGTTTTGGTTTTTTGGTATAATCATGACCATTAAGGAAAAAAATGTGTTTTTTTTTTTTGGGCTAGCTTTGAATGCTAATAGTTTTTCTTACTCGGCCTGTGTATTTTAATTGCTTTAACTGATCAGTTTATGTTGACCATGGGTGGAATTCTTGGGCTAATAGAAATATTATGTAGGAATTTCAGACCAAGGGGAGGTCATTCAGCCCTTCACACCCGTTCCACTATTTTTTTTTAATCATTCACCGAATGAGGGCACTTCTGGGTAGGCTGGCATTTATTGCTCATCTTGTGGAGTGTTTAGAGTCAACCACATTGCTGTGGGTCTGGAGTCACATGTAGGCAAGACCAGGTAAGAAAGGCACTTTCCTTCTCTGAAAGATATTAGTGAACTATTCAGTATGATCATAGCTGATCTTGCAACTCAGTACCCTGATCTCACTTTCTCCCCATATGCTTTGATCCTAAGAATGAGCCTAACAACTCCTCCTCAAAGATTTAGTGTTGAAAATATTTAATGTTTTGGCTTGCACAGTATCCTGTGGCAGAGAGTTCCACATTCTCAGCACACTGTGGGTAAAGAAATTCCCTTTCATCTGTCTTCTGTCTTTTGTCAGAAGTCACACGACACCAGGTTATAGTCCCAACAGGTTTATTTGAAATCACCAGCTTTCGATGTGCTGCTGCTTTGTCAGGCTCTTCACCTGACAAAGGAGCAACACTTTGAAAGCTTGTGAATTCAAATAAACCTGTTGGACTATAATCTGGTGTCGTGTGACTTCTGACTTTGTCCACCCCAGTCCAACACCGGCACCTCCAAAGCATGGTTACCTCTCACTTTTGTAGTTGCACATTCTGCATTTTTTACTGTGCGTGCACTGCCATTATATTGTAAACTTTATATTTCCCTGTGGTAACTTCCATTGCATTAATGAATAATGAGCTAAGATAGAAACAACTGGTTCCAGGTATTCCTTCTGTCATAGGCCTGTGTATAATTTAGTGCACAAATAGAATGAAATATAAATTTACCTCTTTTTAAAGATTTTTAGTTTTCACTTGTTTCAGTCAAGCTATTTAACACAAATTGTGTATGTTGGTCATGTCATTGTCCCATATGCTTATTATAGCTTGATGTGACTGTTCTTTTAAATATTTGATCAAATGAGGAAGAAATTGGATAACAAGGAGGGATTTTAGCCAGACCAATAATTATGAAGTTTGGAAAGAAATGTACAATTTTGAGAATTATTATGTACTTAAATTCTAACCTTTCAGCCTCCAGGAGAGGAACCTCTTGGTCGACTGGAACCTCTCAGCAATGGGCCTTTGCTTGCACTTGTGCACAAAATGAACAACTGTCTGAGCCAGATGGAGCAATTTCCAGTGAAAGTGCACGATTTTCCAAGTGGGAATGGGACCGGAAGCAGGTATCAATTGTTTGCTAATTTGATTTAACTAAATGGGAATATTGCAATTTAAGTTTGTGTGGGGTAGTTGATCGGCATGATATCAGGTATAGTTTTCATGCAAGCCCATTGTCTACCCCTGGAGTTAGGGACTCTCCTAATATTCTTCGGTCAGAAGCTTTTTTTTTTAGAAATTGCCTTGTGAACAATCCACTTTGCTCCAGATTAGCTTAGTGAAGAAACTAAGCTTCTATATTTCAGCCTTGGGTTGAAATTGTAGTCAGCCTCTGATTAATGGTGGCAGTCCTGTTCCATCATCTGAGGAGTGAAATAAAATTGCAATCTGTGGAAAGGCGGTGATGTCGGCAATTAAGTTGCTATGGACGTTTTAATGGCCTGTCCAGCTGATATCCTACCCATGTTAAACCGGCTTATACTCTTGAAGGTCCAGCTGAAATCTAGAACTTCTAAAATCATTCTGTTGGACAATCTAATGGGCTGTAGTTCTTGACGTGGAATGACTTCAAAATGTTACTTTCAGGAAGTAGTATTCTCCCTCGTTAGGTTAATTGACAGGCCAACTGTGCGTCATGATTGAAAACATCATTGTTTTTGCATTGTTTTGACGCAATTTTGACTTTTGACAGTTTTGCCTAACTAACGCATATGGAAAAGCATTTTTCATTGTTCTTGAAAAAATGTTTTCTTTGTTAACAGGGGATCGCAGGCCTTGAAATTCTTCAATACGCATCAGTTAAAATGCCAGCTACAGAGACACCCAGACAGTACCAATGTCAAGCAATGGAAGGGCGGTCCTGTGAAGATTGATCCATTGGCTTTAGTACAGGCTATTGAGCGCTATCTTGTCGTCAGAGGTGGTGGCTGCTTTATTTCTGTGTTAAGCAGTAAAACTTTATTTTCTTACCCTTTTGTCTTGTGCTGCAGGCAATACTGTTTAAGATTGATGATTAATGTGGTCGGATAAAGATCCATTTGAGGGTGGGCAAGTTTTGGCCAAATAAAAAATTATCTACATTTCCTTACATTTCATTAATTTTAGGAACAGAACTACATTTTGTACTTGCAGAAATAAACATTATCTATAAATACAATCCATCTTAAGCATTAATTTTTGATGCCTTAATGATTTTAAATGCTGATTATCCATGAAGAGCTATACCAGAATTAAGAGTAGTGCATGAATCCACAGCACAGAAATATTTATGGTCACAGTTTCTTCAGTTGATTCTTTTAGCTCACACAAATTGGACTGCAGAGTATAAGTCTCTATCATGGATGTAGGCTGAAGGGCAAATCAAAACATGTACTGCAGTTTCTATCAATACTTTTTAATTCATTTGTGGGATGTGGGTGTCATTGGCTGGCCAGCATTTGTTGCCCATCCTTAGTTGTCCTTGAGAAGGTGGTGGTGAGCCGCCTTCTTGAACCGCTGTAGTCCATGTGCTGTAGATTGACCCACCATGCCATTAGGGAGAGAATTCCAGGATTTTGACCCAGCAACAATGAAGGAATGGTGATTATATTTCCAAGTCAGAATGATGAGTGATTTGGAGGGAACCTTGAAGGTCGTGGTGTTCCCATGTATCTGCTGCCCTTGTCCCTCTAGATGCAAACAGTCATGGGTTTGGAACGTGCTGTCTGAGGATTTTTGGTAAATATCGACAGTGTATCTTGTAGATAGTACACACTGACCGTTTGTGGTGGAAGGAATGGATGCTTGTTGATGTGGCGCTGATCAAGCGGGCTGCTTTGTCCTGGATGGTGTCAAGCTTGTTGAGTGTTGGAGCTGCCTCCATCCAGGCAAGTGGGCAGAATTCCATTACGCTCCTGACTTGTGCCTTGATGATGGACACGCTTTGGGGAGTCAGGAGGTGAGTTAACCACCGCAGTATTCCTTGTCTCTGACTTGCTTTCTTGTAGCCACTGTGTTTATGTGGTGAGTCCAATTGAGTTTCTAGTCAGTGGTAACCCGAGGATGCTAGTTGGAGTTTGTGATGTTAATGTCATTGAACATCAAGTTGGGGTTGTCTGTGATTGCTGATGCTCTTAGCCTGGCATTTGTGTGGTGCAAATGTTACTTGTCCCTTGTCAGCCCAAGCCTGGATATTGTCCAGATCTTGTTGAACGTGGACTGCTTCCTTGTAACTAGAAGGAGAAAATGGATAAAATTGTGCTGGTTTGTATTCTTGCTAGCAAATATTTTAGCTAGACTATTCCTTCAGAGTCACTCAAACTGTGATTGAGATCTCTGTATGGAATTTCAAATATAACTGCAGCCTAACTGTACACCTTGGTAGATTAATGTTATTTAGTTGAACTCCAGATTTGGGTTTTAGCTGTCACAAAAATAATCCTGAAGTGTTTGCAAGTAAGATGGGAAATTGTATAATGGATACTGTATAAGGAAAAACCAGGATGCATTAGTTTGTTTTTAATTGCAAGCAAAGCCTGACTAGAGAGATCCTTGAACTTGTGGGAGATGAGAGATGAAATTCCCTGTCTTAAAAAAATGATACATAGAAAAATACATTTGCACTGTTGTCTTGATGTGTACTTGACTAATTGGAGACCAAAAGACACTTTTTTTCAAGAAGGTTGAAGATGTTGTGAATTGCAGAACAATTTTTGTAGCTATTTTAGGGTTTTTTTATGTCTCCAAAACTTAAGTTTCTATCTAGCAAGGACTTCAAATGGGACAATGCTGCTGGTCAGACCTTAATTATTTCATGAGATAGCTGACATACAAATTTGGAGCTAGAGTAAACTATTCAGCTCATCAAGCCCATTCCTCCAGTTGATATAATGGTGGCTGATCTTATCATAGCCACACTCCACTTTCTTGCCTAACCCCGATGCGCTTTGACTCCTTTAGTTAAGAGTCTGACTACCTGTGCCTTTTTAAAAATATTTCATGATGTTCCTTCCACTTCTCTCTGGGGAGATTTCCACCACTTATGACCTGAGAGAGAGAGATTCTCTTCTCTGTTCTAAATGGAGAATCCCTTACTGTTTTAAACTCTGTCCCTTAGTTTGGCTGTCTCCCAGAATGGGAAATATCTACCCCAATCTAGTCTTGTCAGATCATTGTTTCAGAACAATCACGTCTCATTTGTCTGATGGATGTGACCCAAATGTTCCACATAAGATAACCCTGCATCCCGGAGATCCATTTCTGAGCTGTTTCCAATACAGCTTACGTCAAGTTTCATCAGCGTGATGTCAAATATTTAATATTGGAAAAACAAGTCTATAAACCTTTTTAGAAGGAGATAAAGCTGTAAAAAGGTATTGAGAAGATTGAAAAATGAGCTAAAATACGCTAACACATCATTAATTGTGTGAGGTGTTCTTTTGTTTTTGAAATGTTTTTAAGTTGGTTGTTGATGTCCATGCATCATCCTTCATGTTGAAAAGGCTCATGGATAGCTGCTTGGGGTGTGATGAGCAGGTGTTGCTCTTGTTTTCCTGTTTGTGGGTTATGTTTAATATTTCAACTGTACTGCACAATTGAACAGCCAAAATTACCTCTAAATTGGGAAAATATGGATATAAGCTGTATCCAACCAGTATACATTTGGACCTTTTGCACCACAATTCATGGCCAAACTTCAACTTTATTGCTTTGATGTTTAAGTTAATTCTTGTGATCTCCAACAATCTGTGATTGTCTAAGGTCTGAAAATTTAGAGCTCATCTTGATGTAATATTTCTGTAATTCAAGGGTATGGAAGAATACGAGAGGAAGATGAAGATAGTGATGATGATGGCTCAGATGATGAAATTGATGAATCATTGGTAAGTTTGTCACACGTTAATCTGAAAGTAACAGTAAAGTTTTGATTATCAAGGTTGATTATTAGAGTTGGTGAGAGCCTTTATAAGGTGCAACTGAAGGACAATTCTCCTATTCACTCCTGTCTTAACCAAATCTTAACATCGTTCTAAACAGCAGGATTGGTGCCTGAAAATGTTGAATTGAATTACGAAAAGATCTACAAGAAAGTTGATGGAATTGGAGGGTTTGAGCTAAAGGGAGAGGCTGAATAGGCTGTGGCTATTTTCCCTGGAGCGTCAGAGGCTGAGGGGACCTTTATAGAGGTTTATAAAGTCATGAGGGGCACGGATAGAGTGAATAGCCAAGGTCTTTTCCCCATAGATGGGGGAAGTCCAAAACTAGACGGCAGAGGTTTAAGGTGAGAGGGGGAGATTTGAGACCTGAGGGTAAACTTTCTCATGCAGAGGGTGGTGCATGTATAGAATGAGCTGCCAGAAGAAGTGGTGGAGGTGGGTTATGACATTTAAAAGGCATCTGGATGGTTACATGAATAAAAAGGGTTTAGAAGGATATGGACCAAATACTGGCAAATGGGAGTAGGTCAGATTGGGATGTCTGGTCAGCATGGATGAGTTGGACAAAGGGTCTGTTTCTTTGCTGTATAACTCAATGTCTGTATGTATAAAATTGTTGATGTTTCAGTATGATGTATACATTCTTGATCACAATTTAAAGTAGCAATGTAACAGGAGGTTTCTTTTTTTGACATGGAAGAAGGAAGATTGAGAAAGTAAAGGAAAAGATAATGTTAATACAATGTCTATTCACTTGTATCCATTGTCTTAGTTCTGAACTTGTTGCATTGATGTCTGGCTAGAGTCAGTTGTACAGATCCGAAACAGACCCTCTGGCCCAACTCGTCCATGCCGACCAGATATCCTAAAATTTAGTTCCATTTGACCCCCATATCCCTCTTAAAAACTTCCTATACATATGCCCATACAGATGCTTTTTTTAAATGTTGTAGTTGTACCAGCCTCCTCCACTTCCTCTGGCAGCTCATTCCATACCCGCACCACCCCTTGAAAAAGTTGCCCCTTTGATTCCTTTTAAATCTTTCCCCTCTCACCTTAAACCTATGCCCCTCTAGTTTTGGACTCACCCACCCTGGGGAAAAGACCTTGACTAATCACCCTATCAATGCCCCTCAGAGTTTATAAACGCCTGAGGTCACCCCTCAGCATCCGACCAGCAAGGAAAATAGCCCCAGCCTATTCAGCCTCCCCGTACAGTTCAAACACTAAAACACACGCACACACTAAAAACTGAAAGAACTGTGGATGCTGGAAATCAGGAATACAAACAGAAGTTGCTGGAAAAGCTCAGAAGGTCTGGCAGCATCTGTGAAGAAAAGATCAGAGTTAACGTTTAGGGTCCAATGACCCTTCCTCAAACCTTCCAACCCTGCCAACGTCCTTGTAAATCTTTTCTGAACCCTTTCAAGTTTCACAACATCCTTCTTATAGCAAGGAGACCAGAATTACACAAAGTAATTCCAAAAGTGGCCCTCCGGTCCCTTTTAAATCTTCCCCTTCTCTCCTTAAACCTATGCCCTCTAGTTTTAGACTCCCTCACCTCCAGGGTGGAAAAGACCTCAGCTACTCACCCTATCCATGCCCCTCATGATTTTATAAACTTCTATAAAGGTCACCTCTCTGCCTCCAACGTTCCAGGGAAAATCGCCCCAGCCTATTTAGTCTCACCCTATAGCTCAAACCCTCCAACCCTGTCAACACCCTTGTTAACTTTTTCTGAACCCTTTCAAGTTTCACAACATCCTTTCTATAACAGGGAGACCAGAACTGTACGCAGTGTTCCAAAAGTGACTAACCAATGTCCTATAAAGCCACAACATGACCTTCCAACTCCTTTACGAGAATGGATGCAGGGATGAGGATATGATTATAGTGATAGATTGATGTAGTTGGGACAGATCTCCATAGATAGTAGGCTGAGAAGAGATCTGATTGAGGTTTCCAAAATCATGAGCAGGATGGATAGGGGACATACAGCAATGCTTTGAGAGAAACAAGACGAGTACATTGATTTAAAGTGATGGCAAAAGAAGCAGAAGTGATGTGAGGAAAAACTTTTTCATGCAAGTAGTTCGGGCATGGAATGTACTGCTTGGTAGAGGCAGGTTCAACTGGGGTATTCAAGAGGAAATTCATTGATTATTCAGGTAAAAAAGTGCAAGGATATGAGGGAAAAAAACAGGAGATTGGATTGGTAACAGAACTGGTGCAAGCATGATGGGCTGAATGGCCTTCCTCTGCATCGTAACAACTCTGAGAGAAGAAATTTCTCCCCATTCTTCATTTAAATGTACGACCCCCTTACTCTAAGATTTCTGACCTTTGGTCCTAGACTTTGCCACATGGGTAAACAACCTCTCCACGTCTACAGTATTATAAAACAAACATCTGTGGATAGTGAAAATCTGATACAAAAAGCAGAAATTGCTGGATAAACTCAGCGTCTGCGATGGAGAAAACAAAGTTAACGTTTGGAGTCCAGTGATCCTTCTCCTCACCTACCCTGTCAAGTCCCCGAAGAATCCCCACGATCTCAATGCAGGACTGTTGTCGTTGTACCAGGCAGACACGCGCGCACACAGGCAGACACGTGCAAAGTTAAACTCCAGCAGCCATCACTGGGCAGGTGCTGTTGCTGACTCCGTGATGTGTGTGCTTGTGAAGTAATATATCCAGCAAGTCCTCACTTAATGTTATGCTTGCATTCCTGAGAAGTGCAACTTTCCTCTTAATTAGAAAATCTGATTCACTTCATGTAAAAACTGTAGTACCTTACTCAAAAGAAAGCATTAAAACAATGTACCCTGTAAGTTAAAATGCTTCGAATTGCTGAATTCTTATTTTATTAAATAAATTAACTTTTAAAAATTACTTCGAAACTTTACACTAGTAAGTTACATCCTGCTCACTGCCTCTTCCTGCCGTCAAACCCCTCACTTGCCAAACTTGCCGCTCTCGACAAACCAGCGTTCACCTTGCATTTTATGGCTGCAGCTGACCATCTGATACATCACCTCTCCCACTCCTTCTCACTACAAATCTTCATTCTTTTAAGCTCCCGCTCTGTTTCTTTCACTTGCAACTTTCTTTGCCTGAACCCTAGCTGTTGAATGAGGACTCAGGAGATGAGTGGTGACAGTCGGGCAAAACAGCTTCAACTTGCAGGAGGCAAATGATGAACTAGAGGGTTGGTAGAGAGAGGTTGGGTCATGGAGCTGCCTGGATAAATGGACTGGTGGGCCTGGGAGCAGAAGAGGCTATAAACTGGAGGTCAAAGGTGAGAGGAAGTGTCAGTGAGCAGCAGAGGTAGCTCCACAATCTGCCAATTGGGTCACCGAACCCCACATTAAACAAGAAATTACTTGAAAATGAGCTGCTTGATGGTAAACATACATTCATGTTCCGAACTTTTCTATTTGTTTATGGAATGTGGATTTAGCTGAATGGACCAACACTTGTTGCTTATCTCATGTGGTTTTGGCACAGCAAAGTGTGGGAGGGAGTTCCAGGATTTTAAACCAGCAACAATGAAGCAATGGTGATATAATTCCAGGTCAAGATAACATAAGACCTTAAGGGAACTTGGTGTTCCATGTATTTGCTGCCGTGGCCCTTCTAAGTGGGAGGGATCATGGGTTTTGAAGGTGCTATCTAAGGAGCCATGGTGAGTTGTGCGCTTAAGTTTAGAGACGGTACTCTCTGCTGCCACTGTGCAGTGGTGGTGGAGTGACTGTCTTTTGAAAATATTAAATGTGGTGCCAGTCAAACAAACTGCTTTGTCCTGAGTGATGTTTAGCTTCTTGCATGTTGGATCTGAAGGCAGATGGAGAGTATTCCCTCAAACCGCTGTGTCTTGTAAACAGTGGATAAGCTTTGAGCCAGGTGGCAAGTTTGTTTCTGCAAAATCCCCAGCCTCTGACCTGTTCTTGTATCTGGCCAGTGCAGTTTCTGGTAACCCCTAAGACAATAGGTCTTTCAGTGCCATTGAGCCTCAAGAGGCAGTGGTTACATTGTCCATTTGGAGGTGGCTGATGCGCAGCACTTTTGTAGCTACTTGTTAGTTCAAGCATGGATGTCTTCCAGGTCTTGCCACATATGGGCATTTACTGCCTCTGTCTGAGGAGTCAAATGATGCTGACCATTGCACAATCATTGACGAATAGCCTCATTTCTGACCTTATGATAGGGGGAAGGTCAGAAGTGAACCAGCCAAGATGATTGAACCTCGGACACTACCCTCAGGAATTGATCAAATTTGAAGCTGACAACATAAAGTAGGGACTTGCCATACACGGTACATGTGTTTTGGAGAATTTCTCTCAATCATCTTATCGCTGGGTTCTTGTCTCTTTCCCAAAAATTAAATAGTCTCAAAAGTAGATCCTCTGTTTAGTCCCAAATTGTTCAAAACAACAAGTAAAATTTAGATATCATCTTGCTAATAATTACCAATCCAGGTTCCTGTTATTCAGGAATAGGTTGGAGAATCAATGACAGTAGTTCACTTCCCACTGTGTACCTGGCTAAGCTCAATTATGTTCTTGCAGCTGTTTTGTCTAGCACAGAGTATGGCGAAAGTGTTTTTAAGAAAATGTTGAAATATATTTGCAGTATGCTGCTTTGTCAGAAGATGGCGCAATTTTGATAGAGCAGGCTAGATGAGAGAGGAAATTGTATGTGATATGCTTCAATGTACTTTACAATTTTGTGCAACTTCCAAGCTAAGTTGCCTGTGTTTTCTTCAAATTGTTCGTCTAATTAGCTTTTCATCTCTTCTGCAAATTGTCTTTTCAAATTGTTGCTTGTGTCCTTGCTCCTATTTTTTTTAATTAAAATGTCGGTTGCTTTATAAATTGCACGACCAGAATAAGAACAGGGGTGTAGACAATTTAGTCCCTTGAACTTGGTATCCTGTTCAGATGATGGCTGATCTCAGCCGTAATGACATCCATCTGCCTTAACCTCATACATCTGTCTAGCAAAAGCCTTCAGATCTCCAGCTTGAGCGATAATCTGCTTTTTAGGGAGAGGGTTTTACATTTCACGAATGTGTACAATATGTTGTATTCTTGGATTTGGATTTCAAAATTCAGGCAGGTGGATGTAGGTCAACTTTCTTTAAAAGGTCAGTTTAAAACTGTGACTTAACTGCAGTGACTTTCAAGGAAGCATGTGAATGTTGTGGATTATCTAGGAGAACACTTACTGTTAATGAATGAAATGTTCATGTGATTGGCTTTATGATGGAGAGAGTTAACTTAATAGCCTTTGCTGTTAAGTATTGACTTGAGAAAACAGATGGTTCATAGTCTCTTCTTTAAAACAAAATTACATTAGAAGAGAACTGTTTCTCTAGCAGGGGAACAAAGATGTTTTTACAATTACTGATCACCTGAACAGGTGCAGGTGAGCTTAGACAGAAGTTATTAGAACTGAGAGAATTGACAGATTTGATACCAGGTAAGCTCTGAAAGGAATCGTTCTTGAAAAAAATAAAGTGCCTCAACATTCCAAGGGAAACAAACTGGAAAGCTATAGTTAAGTTCTTTTGAAAGTGGAGTCACAGGTAGACAGGATAGTGAAGACAATGTTTGGTATGTTTGCCTTTATTGGTCGGTGCATTGAGTATAGGAGTTGGGAGGTCATGTTGTGGCTGTACAGGTCATTGGTTAGGCCACTATTGGAATGCTGCTTGCAATTCTGGTCTCCCTGCTTTGGAAGGATGTTGTGAAACTTGAAAGGGTTCAGAAAAGATTTACAAGGATGTTGCCAGGGTTGGAGACTTTGAGCTATAGTGAGAGGCTGAATAGGCTGGGGCTATTTTCCCTGGAATGTTGGTGGCTGGGGGTGACTTTTATAGAAGTTTACAAAATCATGAGGGGCATTTATCAAGTAAATAGACAAGTCTTTTTCCCAGGATGGGGGTGTCTAAAACTAGAGAGCATACGTTTAAGGTGAGAAGGGAAATATTTAAAAGGGACCTAAGAGGCAACTTGTTCACACAGAGGGTGGTGCGTGTATGGAATGAGCTGCCAGAGGAAGTGGTGGAGGCTGATACACCCATCCAGATGCCTTTCAAATGTCGTAATTGTATGAGTAGGAAGGGTTTATAGGGATATGGGCCAAACGCTGGCAAATGGGACTAGATTAATTTAGGAAATCAGGTCAGCATGGACCAGTTGGACTGAAGAGTCTGCGTCCGTGCTGTATATGTCTGTGACTCTAACAGACAGTTTTAAAAAGCTGAGTTTTGTGAATTTTCTCCAGGATTGCTTGTGTAAGATCATTCGAACTGTGTTGCTCACGTGCTCGCTCTCCCCCACTGTCTCTACCTGTACTCCCACCCCCCCACCCCAATCATCACATGCCATTGTTTTGTTCATAACCTCGTCATTGTCTCTGATTTTGCGTCCCTGCCTATTCATATGTACAGCTTGTAGGAATAGGCTGATCAGAAATGCATGTTTTTTAAAAAATTGTCTGTTTCAACTTCAAGAAGGCACTTCAGAGACAAAGTACCTGAACTACAAGTGGACATTAAGTACCTTGCTACTTTGGAAATGAGGCTGCTATAATCGCACAATGCTTCTGCTACAGGCAATCTGACAAATGCAGTCTTGATCCCATACATTATTCTTCATAGTTGGTACCCATGCCTTGTTACAATCTATTAATCTGGCCTCCATTATATTCCAAGCAGTTAGCTGTCAGGTATTCTGTCTAATTCATAACAAAAATCATTTTGACAATTGAGTATTGATATGGATTTTTCTTCTAATATTCTTGAATAATTGCTCATAAGAGTTGACTTCTGACTCTATTTTGTTTTCTTTCCTGTCTAGGCTGCCCAGTTCTTGAATTCTGGAAGTGTAAGACATAGACTACAGTTTTACATAGGCGATCACTTACTGCCTTACAATATGACTGTTTACCAAGCTGTCAGGCAGTTCAGTGTTCAAGCTGATGATGAAAGGGAGTCCACAGATGATGAAAGTAACCCATTAGGAAGAGCAGGAATATGGACTAAGACGCATACAATATGGTATGTATTCAATACTCCCAGCAGCTGTCTTCACTGAAAAATTGTTTTAAAAATTTACCTGTTGATTCCTATTACTCAAGTATGTAAGAAAATTGGAAAGGTAAGCATCAGCCCAGCTGAGGGTACCTCATTAATTTGCCATTCCTAATTGGGATTAGGGTGCAGTTGAGAGTAAACGATATTGCTGTGGGACTGGAGTCGCATGTAGGCCAGACCAGGTAAGGATGGCAGTTTCCTTCCCTAAAGGACGTTAGTGAACCAGATGGGTTTTTCCCCCAGCAATCAACAGTGGATTCACGGTCGTTACCAGACACTTCATTCCAGAAATTTATTGAATTTAAGTTCCACCAGTTGCAGTGGCAGGATTCGAACCCAGGTCCCCAGAACATTCACTGGATTAAGATTCCAGTGATAGTACCACTAGGCCATTGCCTTCCCTATATTAACCGTGACTTCTCTCCTCAGATGCTGCCAGACCTGCTGAGTTTTTCCAGCAATTTGTTTTTGTTTTAGATAGCCAGTACTACTTTAGAGCATTAAATTCTTCATAAACTTTGTCAAAAATTTCAGTGATCTAAAGACAATTGCAAAGATTTCTGGCATTTGACTTACTATGCATCACACATTTGAGTGTCTTGTACTGGCTTGCATATACCCTCCGAGTGAGGCCTGTGTCTGTAACGCTTATTCATCTGAGACTAAAATATTGTAGATGCTGGAAGTATTTAGGATGTCTGGCAGCGTCAGTGGGGAGAGAGGAGGAGTGACTGTTTCAGGCTTAATGAACTTTTGTCAGAAATGATGAAAGGACACCAACCTGAATGGTGACTCTTGCTTTCCTCTTGAAAGATGTTGCCAAAGCTGCTGAGTTTAGGGCAGCAGTATTTGCAGCATTTTCTCGGCAAATGAGCCTTTTACTACTTGCCGTTGCTGCTTTTAACTGCCAGAAATCCAGGTCAGAAGTCATAATATGAAAGAGTAACTGAAAGCATTTTTGAATTTGTATACAATAGGTATAAGCCTGTGAGAGAAGAGGAGGAGGGAACAAAGGATACAGTTGGTGGAAAGCGAGGACGAGCTCAGACTGCACCCACAAAAACCTCCCCAAGAAATGCAAGAAAACATGACGAGCTGTGGCATGGTGAGTGCTTTAAGGTGCAACCTCCATCCACCATTATTCCTGCATTGTTCTCACATTCTGTAATCTGATTTTCTTTTTTCTTTGGAATACGTTCAGGGTCTGAACACCCACAGCCCTTGGAGGAATCCCAAGGCCCAGAGCAGCAAATTCTGCTTTCTTAAGTGCTAAATAGCTAATCTCTTACTCTGAAGCTCTGACACCTTGATTCCAGTTAGGAGAAGCGTCTATTTGGTTCTAAGCATTCTGTTTCAGTGAAATAATCCCTGATTTAAGAATTGCAGGGATTACTTCCATCTGTAGATCTTTGATTTAAGTCAGTTCGCTCATCCAAGGAACCTCCTGAGTAAACCTTTGTTGCACTCTCTCGAAGGCTTTTCTATGTTTTCCTGTTAATATGAATAACTTCACACTTGCCCATATTGTATTCCAGCTGTTATGTTTTTGTCCACTCACTTAACCTGTTTATGTTCTTTTGCTGACTGTCTCTGTCCTCCCAGTTTACCACCTGACTTGGTATCCTGATTTGTTGTTGATATATTGCACTTAGTCCCCTTGTTTAAGTCATTCATATAGATTGTAAATTGAGACGCAAATACTAATCATCGCAGTATCCCCCTAGTTATAGTTTGGCAGTTGAGGAAATGGTCCATATATTTTCTAATCAAGTCATGTTAAGACATTACCCCTAATTCCACGAGCTCGAGTCATGTTTGTTTGACCATAAAACGAAGGAGCAGAAATTAGGCCATTTGGCCCACTGAGTCTGCTCTGCCATTCAATCATGGTTGATAAGTTCCTCAACCCCATTCTCCCGCTTTCTCCCTGTAACCCTTGATCCCTTTGATAATCAAGAACCTATCTATCTCAGTTTTAAACATACTCAATGACCTGGCCTCCACAGCCTTCTGTGGCAGTGAATTCCATAGATTCATCACTCTCTGGCTGAAGTAGTTTCTCCTTATCTTCATTCTAAAAGGCCTTCCCTTTACTCGAAGGCTGTGCCCTCGGGTCCTAGGCTCTCCTACCAATGGAAGCATCTTCCCAACATCCACTTTGTCCAGGCCATTCAGTTTTCTGAAAGTTTCAGTTAGATTCCCCCCTCATCCGTCTAAACTCCAATGAGTACAGTCCCAGAGTTCTCAAATGTTCCTCATGTTAAGCTTTTCATTCCTGGGACCATTTTCATGAACCTCCTCTGAACCCGCTCCAGGGCCAATACATCCGTCCTGAGATATAGGGCCCAAAACTGCATGCAATACTCCAAATGTGGCCTGACCAGGGCCTTATAAAGCCTCAGTAGTACATCCCTGCTTTTATATTCAAGTTCTTTCAAAATAAATGCCAACATTGCATTTGCTTTCCTGACTACTGACTCAACGTGCAAGTTTACCTTGAGAGAATCCGGGACTAGAACTCCCAAGTCTCTTTGCACTTCAGACTTCTGAATTTTATCCCCATTTAGAAAATAGTCCATGCTTTTGTTCTTCTTACCAAGTGCATGACCTCACACTTTCCCACGTTGTACTCCATCTGCCATTTCTTTGCCCACTCTCCTAACCTGTCCAAATCCTTCTGCAGCCTCACCACCTCCTCAAAACTACTTGTCCTTCCACCTATCTTTGTACCATCTGCAAACTCAGCCAGAATGCCCACCGTTCCTTCATCTAGATCATTAATGTATACAGTGAAAAGTTGTCCCAGCACTGACCCTTGTAGAACACCACTTGTCACCAGCTGCCATCCTGAGAAAGACCCTTTTAACCCCACTCTCTGCTTTCTGCCAGACAACTAATCTTCTATCCATGCTAGAAGCTTGCCTCTAACACCATGGGCCCTTATCTTACTCAGCAGCCTCCTGTGTGGCACCTTATCAAAGGCCTTTTTGATGTTCAGGTAGATAACACCCATTGGCTCTCCTTGGTCTACCCTGCCTGTTACTTCCTCAATGAATTCTAGTAGATTTGTCAGGCATGACCTCCCCTTGATGAAACCATGCTGACTTTGCCCTATTTTACTATACACTTCCAAATATTCAGCAATCTCATCCTTTACAATGGACCCCAAAATCTTACCCATGACTGAGGTTAGGCTTTGGTACCTCCAGTGTGGTGTTGTTGACAATCCAAATACACCAGATACATTGGTTCTCTACCACCACTATTATTTGTTTCTGAAAATGAAGAAACAGCTCCTAGCTTTGTCAAATGTTATTTCCTATTCATGAATCCAATCTAGCACCATCTAATTGTAGATTTCTCAGTGTTCTATTATCAAATGCCTAATAATAGATGCTGACAAATTGCCAACCATCAATGTCAAATTGACTGTCATTTCAGTTCCCTTCCTACAGCCTGTTCCCTCCCTCAAATAATTGAGCTTATGTTCACATCTTCCAATGCATGAAGTCCAGCCAGAGTTATTGGCTGTACTCTTAATATGACAATGTTACTTTGAAGGCTACAAGGCTAATTTAAAGGTACAGTTAGTGTGAAGTTGCAAATAGATAGGAAGATTACAGAAGTGACTAAATCTGAAGCAACTAAACTTTAAATTACCTGGTGTTCTGTTTTGGTGAACAATTCATTTGTGCTGTTTTCTAAGTTAAGTAGCCATATCTGACAGTGTTATAAGGTTGTTTGATGTTTTTAAAAAGTGCTTTTTCAATGGCTGTCTGGTTGCCAACCATTTTGGCAGTGATAGGACATTGTACATGACAATGCTTTCGGTTTAAGATCTGACCCCAGTTAGCTCCTCTCTAACTTCCTGTGCTAGTTTAGTCATGCCCCAGCAATTTTGAATTCTGATTTTTCAAGGACAGAATACTTTCTAATTGTTACCCAACAATGTTCTGCATTCAGTTCTACCGAGTGCATGTTAATTCTCACTTCCACTTTGTACACTAAAATTAGATTCTCCCTTAATCCCTATGTTTTTGCCCTCAGTAATTGTTCATTTAATTTGATTGGAAGTGTTCCATTCAGCTTGTGGTTTGCTAGCCTCTTTAATACTTGATCTGTCCTCTCACCTCCATTGCTAAAGGATTAAAGATTAATAAGCATTTTTCATTCTCGGTTTGCTAAACCTATCGTAGATTTTTTTTTTAATTGTATGTAACGTGCCATTATAATGGAATCTGCTTTATGTAAAGTTTTACGAAACTTAAATGATCCAGAAAGATATTTAATTAATAACCTTAAATCCTAGATGGTGTGTGCCCTCCAGTGGGAAATCCTTTGGAAACATATCTTCTTTCAGGTCCTCCAGATGGTATAACATTTGAGGACCCATCGCTTGATGTGATTCTGCTTCTGAGAGTGCTTCATGCTATCAGTAGATACTGGTATTACCTATATAATGTGAGTACTGCCAGATGCTGTCTAGAAAAGTGGATGCCTGCAAATATTTGTAACAGAAGTCTAATTACCTTTTAAAGCTTGGTCAATAATTCTGAAATTAGCTCATAACTTTGTGTTGGCTTTTGTGCATCAATTTTCCTTTTATAATTTAGACTTACTATTTCCATTTATATGGTGCTTTGCTTAACTTCCTCTCCCACTCCACTTTTTTGTACACTGTTTTGAGTAGTTTAAGACTATTTACTGACTGGAGTCAGTGATGAGGGTCATCAATTTAAATTGTTTGAAGACAGCACAAAGACATTTTTCCAAGGGGTTCTGAATGAGTGTGTTTTTGAGGCAGGGCAATTGTGTATTGCAGTTAAAGTTCAGTTCAATATTCAACCATGAGGCCAATAGACCTACAAGTTTAGAGGAAGGAAAATGTTCACTTTTGGGTTGTCAGTGAAGATCTAGGCATGCCAATCCTAATGGAAGCTACCTGTGCTTCATGTTTCAATTGTGCTTTGATTCACTATTTCCTACCTTGATGGTTATTGTATTTGATGCCCAGACATGCATTGATATAGTGCCTTTCACGATATCAGGACCACTGAAGGACTTAGAAGACAAAATAATTTGATATTTCAAACTTTGCCTTTCACATCGTGAGACATTGCCTGGCCAAAATAATTGCTTTGTTTAACTAAGCCACATTTTATTTGATGCTGCATAAAGGTCCTGATTATGCAATGCTCAGGATTTCCTGCTGTTGTTTTTGAAAGGAGATTTATTTTGACCATTGATTGAGAAAAGACATTTTGTCAAAACTTTAATGTTGCACTCATCAGGATGTTCACAAAAATATCAGTGTAAAGGGGAACAAAATTTTATAATGGATCAGAAGACCACTGATTAGTTGGCATGTGGATCCTGGGAGCAATGTTGCCATTGTGAATGCACCAGTTAGATGACAACTGGCAGTTAACTGCCAAGCTTTGTTTAAATTGGGCGGATTGACTCTGGTCAAAGCAAGCCAATGAATCCGAGAATGGACACCTATTGTTCAGTTGATAAAGGCATAATGTATGTACATTTTCTATCTGTCTGCAAAAAAAAAAACGCCCTATATATTAACGTACATAACTTCTGGTATGTGCAAGTGCTTACTCATTTTGGCTGATGGCAGCATCCTGTTAGTAAAAACACCACTCGTGTTGCTTCTGTATGGTATGTGATACATGAATTTGTTTGAGATGCTACGTGTTAAGCCCATATGTCCCAAAGACTGGATCATGTGCAATAGTGTAAACAGTTTCCAACTTTAGATGTGCTTTCATAATTGGGCAGCAATAGGTACCTAAAATCGTAGAATCCCTACAGTGTGGAAGCAAGCATTGTGGCCCATTGAGTCCACATCGACCCAGACCCACACCCCTCTACCCTATCCCTGTATCTCTGCATTTCCTGTGGCTAATCCACCTAGCCTACACATCCCTGAATACTATGGACAATTTAATACGGCCAATCCACCTAACCTGCACATCTTTGGACTGTGGGAGGAAACTGGAGCTCCCAGAGCAAACCCACACGGACACACAGAATGTGCCAACTCCACACAGTTGCCAGAGGGTGGAATTGAATAAGAGTTCCTGGTGTTGTGAAGCAGCAGTGCTAACCGCTCAGCCACCATGCTGCCCTAAAGAAATTCGACATTACCATTTGGAGCTGTCTGTGTGGTACGCTTGTACATTTTGGAAGCTGAGAGCAGCTAGTAGAACTTATTTTAATTTAAAATAAATCCAGGAACTGCACATGCTGGAAATCTGAAAAGAAAACAGAAGTTGCTGCAGAAGCTGACAACATCTGTGGAGAGAAAGCAGAGTCAACATTATGCCCAGTGAACCTTCATCAGAATGCATGTATGAATTGCTAAGGGAAGGATGGCAGTCCAGTTGTGATGAAGGGTCACTGGACCTGAAACATTGAGTTTGCTTTTTCTTCACAGATAGTGCCAGATCTGTTGAGTTTCTCCAGCAGTTTCTGTTTGTTTTAAATAAGTTCAATTAATTGGATCATACTTAATTACCCTTTGAAATGGCCCAGCAAGCCACTGTGTTCAAGGTCAGTGAGTGATGGGCAACAAAAGCTGACCTTGTCACTGATGCCTACATTCCCCAAAAAGAATAAATAGTATGTAAAGCCCTTTAAGTCTCCAAATCATGAGCCGTATCATTTGTGATTCATTTTCATTGTGCAAGTCACAATAACCTGAGACCTTCACCTTGGTTCCCTAACTGATTATGTTTATAGTGACCAATTCGTGAGTACAATGAGTTTTCCCTGTCCCAGTGGATTTCTTTTTGCCCTTGAGTATTGAACAACTGAAGATGACAGTTTTATTTTAACTCCTCTAAATCATCCTGCTTTAAAATCATGTGGATTAGTTTTTGATGTTAAATGTCAGTATGTTATTTCATAACGCTGCGTGCGAAGTTTCAGAAAGGGTACACCCTGACTAATTCCCACACAAAACCATTAGTCCATCTTCCCATTTCAGATTTTGAAAGATGTAATAACTTAAATCAAAATGTTGATTCAATTATGAAAATTTTAAGGATATGTTTCAGAAATGGGTGAGCAGATGCTGAACTACCCTTCCCCTAGCATCTCATATGTGATGTGCAGGCTGGTAAGGTATTGCAATCATTGTTCAGAGCATGCAGTTTGCTGTTGAGTTGTACCTCTATATTCGATATGTATGCACACTTTTAACATTTTGATTTCTTGTTTACAGAATGCAGTGTGTAAAGAGATTATCCCAACAAATGAATTGATTAACAGCAAACTAACTGCAAAGGCTAACCGTCAACTTCAAGATCCCCTGGTTATTATGACGGGAAATATACCAATTTGGTTGACTGAATTGGGAAGGACCTGGTATGCAATAAACCTCATTACTTCCCTTCTCCTCTGCCACTGGATTAATAGTGTTTAATTAACTAATTGCTAGGTTTTATACAAAGATTTTCAAATTCTGATTTTCAGTTGTCTATGAATAACCTTTTATCCATGAACTTGTCACTGAATGTGGAATGCACTGCACATTTCATTAAAAATTGAATAATGCTGATGCAGGAAGAAAGCACTGCAAGAAGGAGAAAATTGTACCACAGTTCATTTAGGTGGGAAGGTAACTTGGGGTGAAGAACATAATCTGGTTCATCATATTGCCCTGCAGCCATGTCAGTTCCCTACCATTCCTGACTCACTTATCTTTAAATTCATTCACGAAATGAATGAATTTATGGCTAGAAGTTCAGAGTTGATGATTTGTAAAATTACGATGGAGTCGAATTATTTCCTTTCCCTTGCAGCAGATATACTTGAACAATGTTCCAATCTAGTTTAAATATGGAATTTGCTGTTCAATACTATAATAAAAACAGCCATCTACCCCGTAGATCGATAAGTAAGTTAACAATGTGAAAAACATTTGTAATACATAGCTATATTTAGACTTTGAATGTTGTCTTCAAAAAGACAAAAATTAGTATTGTGGTTTTCTCCCCCATTTACTTAGCCTTTTATAAAGTAACCTGAATTTAGATTGTGTTATCAACTGAATAGTTGAAATCACATGGAATTCCCCAAGAGCTAGATAGTTTGGAGAGCCCTGTAAGGTTAATCCAATATATTTTGCGGAGTTTAAGCGGAATTACCAAGTTACTTTCCTGAAGGTTGCACAAAAAATCAACTTCTAATTGGATTTCATGACCGTATTAAACAGCAAATTATATATATTGAGAAGCTCTTGGACATATATGTGGATCGGAAGGGAATAGAGCGATGTGGATCCTACAAATGAACACTGTTTTAGAATGGAGGGGCACCATATGGCAGTGCAGGCTTGGAGGACCAAAGGGCCTGTTCCTGTACTGTTATTGTTCTTTGTTATTCAGATAGTTCATAGGACATTTCACATAATATCAGAAATTTCAGGAAACTATACAGTCCAGAATAACTGCAGCTCGAGTGACGTGTTAAAGCTAACAACATTTTCTTTAAACTGCAAGGTCAGAATACATCTTACTGTAACTTCAAATTGGTTTTCAGTGCAGTGGCATCTCCTTTTTCTGCTGAAGAAGGGAATGGAAAATAGTAAATGAGACTCCAGTTGAAGATAATTTGTCTTGAGTTTGGCTTAACAAGAACAGTAAAGAATTAAATGACTTGTAATTTTTTTTTTTCTGAATTTAAAAAGCAGGTCACCAATGATCTTTGTTTTTTAGCCCATTTTTTTTCCCATTCGACACACGGCAAATGCTGTTCTATGTGACTGCGTTTGATCGAGATCGAGCCATGCAGAGATTACTAGATACTAACCCAGAAATCAATCAGTCTGATTCGCAAGATAGCAGAGTTGCTCCTCGTTTGGATCGGAAAAAGGTAAATGCCTGTGTTGCAGCTTAACATGACAGTTTTTCACTATTACTTGAGCTTTGTACTATCTGCTGTTACCTGTAATATGTATGTAATTCTAAAAATATCGTCTAAAAAGAAAACCATGATGAACTGAAGGACTAATTCTGCTATTTTAGTCCTTTCGTTAATTTCTGGATTGGCATGCAGGACTGAAAGTGTTTCTCTGTAATATTTTATTAATGTTGAAAAGCTATCAGAAACAAGTGTGTTTAGGAGAAAAGTACAATCAAAAATGGGACCTTCTGGTGTATTCCTGCTCATTATGTCACTTGAAGGGAGAAGAGCTAACATCAGTCAGCTTTCTACGGCATGGCAAGATAGTCAAGGATGACCCACTTAACTGCTGTCAATATGTACCTGGGTGCTGATGAGGCAATGTACATGCTGCAGAGATTAATAAAACAAATTTTGAAAAAGTTGTAATGGATACTTTTCAACATGACATTCAACAAAACTTAGAGAAATTGTTCTATTTTCGGAGACACTAGATTTTGCAAGTTTAATATAATCCTTGTAGGTGACTACAGGGAATTTTCTTTTAGGAATTTGTTATTTCAGCGAGACTTGAATGTAGGTCTCTTCACACATGAGGGAAAACCTTCTCATGATTTTATTTTGCAGACCCTTTATTGCGTTTTCACTGGTACTTTGATCACCATCACCAAATCATTTTGCCACCCTGTAGTCCTCTCCCTCCATAGAAGCAGAATCCTTTTCCAAATTGCTGGAGAAACTCAGCAGGTCTGGCAGCATCTGGAGAGAAAGCAGAACTAACATTTCAAGTCCAGTGACCGTTCAGCACTGATAATAGCTAAGAAAGGGTGGTGACAGGCATGGGGGTGGAGGAGAGGAGTGAGCAGATAGGCAAAGCTGGAGCCCAGAGAGAGAGAATGACAGGGAGACAAAGGGATGGATGTTCAGGAAAAAGAGAAGCCTGATAATGCAGACCGTGAAAATAAGAAAATCTGTTGGCTGTGCTGAAAGCAGCCATGTCACGACGTGTGGGGTGGGTGAAGGAGATGGAAGGTGGTGTTCACACCCAAAAATGAACTAACATGATATTGAATCCTGAAAGCTGCAGGGTCCTCGAGCAGCAACTGAGGTCCTGTTTTTCCAGCTCGCATTGAATTTCGCTGGAGCACTGCAGCAAACCCAAGACCCAGATGTTAGTCAGGAACACTAGTGTTGAAATGGCAGGTAACTGAAGCACTGGGTCACTTTTGTGGACAGAACGTGGGTGTTTTTGTGGACAGAACGTGGGTGTTCTGCAAAGTGGTAGTCCAGTCCACGCTTTCTCTCTCCAGTATAGAGGAGACCACGTTGTGAGCAGCAAATGCAGTCGACTAGATTGAGTGAAGTGGAGGTAAATTGCTGTGTGTGGGAATCCTTGGATAGTGAGGAAGGAGGTGGTAAACTGGCAAATGTTTTCTATCATTGTGTGAGCAGAAATATGCAGAGCATTTCAGAAAGAATTTAACATACGGTTTACTTAGTGCCAATTCAGAGAGATTTCTCAAGGCCACGCTAACCTGATGGTTGTATAGTAATCAGTTGGTTATCTGTGAACTCAAATAATCTAGTAATCTGGGGGCTAGTACAAATTACAGCAAAATTTCCTGGATTCCCCCTGATTTATGCAAGGGAAATTATTGGTGATTCTGCTATTTTGGATATTTCAGCCAAAGTCAAACTCCTTAGCTGCTGTTCACCAATGTCACATGGTCTCCAAAATATTTGGCTGCTTCACTGAAAATGATCCATGTAAAAATGTACTCCAGTGTTCAATCCATCTCTTTAGAAAATTGGCAAAGGAGTTTTAAACAATCATCACTCTTTCAATAGGCCTTAGGAGATAATTCTATTCCAACTGTTAATTCTTTTAATTCCCCTTGCAGCGTACTGTGAACAGGGAAGAGTTGTTAAAACAAGCAGAATCGGTAATGCAGGATTTAGGAAGTTCACGGGCAATGTTGGAGATTCAATATGAAAATGAAGTAAGCCTAACTTTGACTCACATTTAGTCAGAATTTATAATTTTTGTATATTTGTTGTGCCCAATTATTTTAATCCTGTTAATGATAACTTAACCTTCACTTCAACTTTTCTAACACCAGCTAACATTTTCCTTAGGTTGGGACGGGCCTAGGTCCAACATTGGAATTCTATGCACTTGTATCTCAGGAACTGCAGAGAGCTGATCTGGGTCTGTGGCGGGGAGATGAAGTCACACTGTCCCATCCTAAAGGTACAATCTGTCCAATAAAATTGTGAAAATAATAATAAACTCATCCTTTTTACCTGCTGTCAGCTAATGAATTCAACTTAAAACAAAAGTGGTTGTGATCATATTATGAAGCTTGGAATTACTATTTCATTATACAAAGTTTTTATTTTGCTAATTAAAGCAAGTAAAACTGAAAATGGTGGAAACGTGGGTCTAGCAACTATGGTTTTTATGGTTTTCCAGTATCTGCCATCATTTACTTAAATGAACATGAGGCTTTTGACATTTGTTGAATGTGTTTTTTGTTCCACAAATGCACTTGTATTCTGAAAATAGCCTGAAATGCTGAGGATGTACCCAACAAAAACAATTGAGTTTTCTCTTGAGTGATCCATGAAATATTGGTGATCTTGTAATTGGCTGGTAGCTTGCACTGTAGTTGCCTTTTTCGATTTTTGTTCACTGCTGCAGTCTGTCTGAATTGGTGCAATGCAAAATATACAGCTTCGTGAACTAATCTAAACGATATTCCAAGCTTTAGTGCCTGACTTTTACTAGCGATGCTTTGAGTTACCATAACCATTTTTATACTCTCATTCCTTCCTCTTAAGCTGCATAATTCTGATGAAACACGTGCGGTTTGAATTAACTAAGTTAAAATGAATAACTTTACACAAGCATCAAGGTGTAACAGAAGCCTGCATTTAGCAGCTAACTAATATAAAATTAGTGTTCATGATAACTTGTATGGTAACAATATTGTCACATTTACATGAGGTTTTGAACTACAAGCTGCTGATCATTTCTACAAATGCTTAAATCCTGGTGTGATGCAATACTGGCTGTATGCAGATCCTGCCTGATTCTGACTGTAATGCTTGTGTGTCAACTTTTTCTGGATTCTTATGACCTTGCTTTATTCTTAACCTGTTTCTCAGCCAATACCAGCTGTATTGTAAACAGTTATTCAGAACTGTTTTGAAGCAAGGATAAAATTGCTTGTCAGCTAACTACCTTAATTGTGTTGTTAGGTAGCCAAGAAGGGACCAGATACATCCATAATCCACGGGGCCTTTTCCCTGTCCCTTTCGGAAGGAATACAAAGCCGGCACATGTGGCTAAAGTGAAAATGAAATTGCGATTTTTGGGCAAGTTTTTGGCCAAAGCAATCATGGACTTTCGATTGGTATGTTTTACCCATAACTACTGTGAGTCTGCATACAATTTGTAATAAGCATCATTTGATTGCAAATTTTTAAGTTGGTAATACTGTGTTTCCACTGTAAGCAATATTAAAATGATGTAGAAATTGGGGCTGGAGAGATTGTTTTATGAAGCAATTTCTGGAGTTTCCTTAAACTGTCAGGTGTAATTGTTATAGTTAGATAACATAGCTTACACAATTCAGTTTGGCTTTAATCTAGAATTGGAATGCCATAGGAAAGACCCACATGAAGGAAAAAAAGCACACTCTGTGCTGTTCTATTAACTTCCCTCTGAATCTTGTATGTTTCAATCATTTTTCTTTCCTTTTTCTATACTTAAATGCACGTCAGACCAGCTTGTTCAATATTCCTTACGATAAGCTAAACAGCAGCAGAATTTCACAACTTTTCCATAACCTGTAATCACATGGACCGGCATATCCCCCACTCAACCATTACCATCAAGCCAGGGGATCAACCCTGGTTCAGTGGAGAGTGCAGGAGGGCATGCCAGGAGCAGCACCAGGCATACCTGAAGATGAGGTTTCAACCTGGTGAAGTCACCAAACGGGACTACTTGCACACCAGACAGCATAAGCAGCAAGTGATACAGTTAAGTGATCCCACAACCAGCAGTTCAGATCTAAGCCTTGCAGTCCTGCCACATCCAGTCAGTTAATGGTGGGGGACAGTTTAACAACTCACTGGAGGAGGAGGCTGCACAAATATCCCCATCCTCGACAATGGAAGAGCCCAGCCCAGCACATCAGTGCAAGAGATGAGGCTGAAGCTTTTGCAGCAATCTTCAGCGAGAAGTGCTGAGTGGATGATCCAACTCTGCCTCTTCCAGTGGTCCCCAGCATCACAGATACCAGTCTTCAGCCAATTTGATTCACTGTACATGATGGCAAGATGGTTGCATACTGCAAAGGCTACAGCCCTGACAATATTCTGGCAATAGTACTGAAGACTTGTGCTCCAGAACTTGCTGCTCCCCTAGACAAGCTCTTCCTACAGTTACAATACTGGCATTGACCTGACAATGTGGAAAATTGCCCAAGTAGATCCTGTACACAAAAAGCAGGACAAATTAAACCCAGCCAATTACTGCCTCATCACTCTACTCTTGATCATCAGTAAAGTAACCCAAGGTATCATTGACAGTGCTATCAAGCACCTGCTCAGTGACACCCAGTTTGGATTCTGCCAGGGCCACTCGGCTCCTGACCTCATTACATCCTTGGTTCAACATGGATGAAGGATTTGAATTCCAGAGGTTAGGTGAGAGTGACAGCTTCTGACATCAAGGCTGCATTTGACCGAGTGTGGCATCAAGGTCCCCTAGCAAAACTACAATCTGAGTATTGGGGCAAACTCACCACTGGTTGGAATCGTACCTGGCACTTAGATGATCTCGGTTGTCAGAGGTCAATCATCTCAGCTCCAGGACATCTCTGCAGGAGTTCCTCAGGGTAGTGTCCTAGGCCCACCCATCTTCAGCTGCTTCATTTAATGATCTTCCTTCCAACATACAGTCAGAAACGGGGATGTTTGACGATGATTTGTGCACTGTTGAGCACTATTCGTAGTGACTCGCACTGTAGCTGTCTGTATCCAAATGCAACAAGATCCGGACAATATTCAGGCTTGGGCTGACAAGTGGCAAGTAACGTTTGTGTGACACAAATGCCAGGTTATGACCATCGGCAAAAGACAATTTAATCACTGCCCCATTGACATTCAATGGTGTTACCATCACTGAATCCTCCATTATCAACATCTTGGGGGGTTACCATTGACCAGAAACTCAACTACTCTTGCCACATAAGTGCAGTGGCTAAAAGAGCAGGTCAGAGACTAGGAATAGTGCAGCGAGTAATTCACCACCTGTCTCCCCAGTGCCTGTTCAGAATTTGCAAGACAAGTCAGGAGTGTGATGAGAGTACTCCCCACTTGAGGTTGTTGACTTGCTTACCGAGCTGGCTTTTCATTCAGACGGTTCATCGCCACGCCAGGTAACGACATGAGTGGAGCCTCCGATGAAGCAACGTTATTCTACTCCGCTTGGAATTTATACTGTCCAGTCCATTATGGGGAGTAGTGTCATTTCCGGTTTTGATCTGTATGGGTTTGTATATGGGGTCCAGTTCTGTTTGTTGATTGCATTATGGGTGGAGAACCATGCCTCTAGGAATTCCTGTGCGTGTCTATGTTTGGCTTGGGCTACTATGGTTACTTTGTCCCAGTTAAGTTGATGGCCTTCATTGTCTGAGTGTACCGATATTAAGGAGAGTTCATCGTGTCGTTTTGGTGCTAGTTGATGTTAATGTATTCTGATGGCTGGTTTCCTTCCTGTGTCTCCGATGTAATGTTTGTGGCGGTCGTTGCATGGTATTTTGTAAACCACATTGGTTCTGCATGTTGTGAGAATGAGGTCTTTAATCCTTGTAAGCCCAGACAACAACCGGACACGGTAAGCCCTAACACATTGGCCACACTGCCCTACGTCAAGAACATATTGGAACTGAGAACAAGACTCCTAAGACCACTGGGAATCGTGGTAGCCCACAGCCACACTACGACAAATACTCTCAAGGATTATAGACCCCATCCCTGCAACATATAGAGCCAACGTGGTTTACAAAATACCATGCAATGACTGCCACAAACATTACATCGGACAGACAAGAAGAAAACAAGCCATCAGAATACATGAATATCAACTAGAGCAAAACAACACGACGAACTCTCCTTAATATCGGTACACTCAAGACAATGAAGGCCATCAGTTTAACTGGGACAATGTAACCTTAGTAGCCCAAGCCCAACATAGACACTAACGGAAATTCCTAGAGGCATGGTTCTCCACCCGTAATGCAATCAACAAACATATAGAATTGGACCCCGTATACAAACCCATACAGATCAAAACCGGCAATGACAGTACTCCCCATAATGGACTGGACAGTATAAATTCCAAAGGGAATAGAATAACGTTGCTTCATCGGAGGCTCCACTCATGATGTCACCTGGCATGGTGACGAAATGTCTGAATGAAAACAAGCCAGCTGAGTGAGCAAGTCAACAACCTCGCCCACAACCTGAGCGATAGATCTTTGCCAAAACTTTATACTCCCCACTTGCCTAGATGGATGCAGCTCCAACTGCACTCAAGCCTGACACCATCTAGGACAAAGCAGCCGGCTTGATCAATACTACATCCACAAGCATCCACTCCCTCCACCACCAATACTCAGTAGCAGCAGTGTGTGCTATCTACAAGGTGCACTACAGAAAATCACAAAATATCCTCAATAGCACCTTCCAAACCCACAACCACTTCCATCTAGAAGGACAAGGGTAGCAAATACAAGGGAACACTACCACCTGCAAGTTCTCCTCCAAGCATCTCACCATCCTGACTTGGAAATATATTACAGTTCCTTTACTGTCACTGGGTCAAAATCCTGGAATTCCTTCCCTAATGGCAATGTCAGTCAACCCACAGGACATGGACTATACAGCAGTTTAGCAAGGCAGCTTGCCACCACCCCCTCAAGGACAACTAGGGACAGGAATAAATGCTGGGTCCAGCCAGGGACACTCGCATCCCACAAATGAATCACTCTTGGGCGTTTTTAAATTCAACAGAATCGCTTCTGAACTGTCTCTTATGCTGTTGTGTTCCTTTTCAAATAACATCATCAAAACTGCACTCACTTCAGATATGATCACCTCGAAGTCCTGTGTAATTCCAGCAAATCTTTCAGACTTGTGTTCCATTCCCCTTGCAATAAATGGCAACGTTCCATTTGTCTTTAGCTTGCAGGCAGAGCCAGTAATTTCAATGTCTTGCGGCATGTACCAGGTACGCTGATCCCATGTATCTCTGAGTGCTGAGTCACCATTTAAATAATATGCTGCTGTTCTGTTCCTCCTGCCAAAGCATTCAAGATCACAGTTTCGCACACTAAACTCCACTGAAGGCATTTGTGTTATTGGTGCCAGGAAAGCCTCTTGCAGCAACATTGATTCATCTACTTGTCAACATATTTTGTGATGAGCAATCCTAATCATATGTTGATCAGAAATTTACAGAAAAATGCAGACCTTTACGCAACTTCCAAATTTATCGCTTCTTCCCTATCACTTTTTTTTTTAAATTCACTTATGGGATGTGGACACCACTGCATGGGCTGTTTATTAACCAACCCTAATTGTCCTGGAGAATGTGGTGGTGGTGAGGTGCCTCTGTGAACTGCTGCAGTCCATGTGCTGTAAGTGGACCCACAGTGTCCTTAAGAAGAGAATTCTAGGGTTTTGACCCAGCGACACTGAAGGAATGGTGATATATTTCCAAGTCAAGATGATGAGTAGCTTGGAGGGGAGCTCGCAAGTGGCGTTGTTCCTGTATATCTGCTACTCTTGTCCTTCTAGATGGTAATGGTTGTGTGTTTGGAAGGTGTTGTCTGAGGAACCGTGGTGAATCTTGTAGATAGTACCACTGGTGCCTGTCCAGTGAATTGCTTTGTCCTGGATGGTGTTGGAGCTGTACCTGTTGGACTCCTGACTTGTTCCTGGTGGATGGGATTTGGGAGTCATCAGAGTTGCTTGCTGCAGGATCCCTAGTCTCTGACCTGCTGTTTCAGCCTCTGTATTTATATGACTAGTCCAGTTGAGTTCTGGTCAATGGTAACTCCCGGGATGTTGATAGTGAGGAATTCCGTGATGGTAATGTCATTGAATGTCAAGGGCAGTGTGCTAAATTGTTTTGTATTAAAAATGGTCGTTGCCTGGCATTATGTGGTTTTTCACCCCAAGCCTGAATATTGTTCAGGTCTTGCTGTATTTGAACATGGATTGCTTCAGTAACAAACACTTTATAAAGGATGTATCCAGCTTGTTGAGTTTCCTTGTAGCATTCTTTGAGCCTGGTGCAGTTGTGTTCCAGAATCCAGAAGCTTGTGGGTTCAAGTCTAGCTCCACATCATAAGCGTGTCATAATATTTGTGCCACACGTGTCAAATATTGACTAAGATTTTGTCTTGTGGACAGGGTGGTTCCCTTTTATGTGATGTCACAGGATTAGCTACTGACCTCAGTGTAAAGACACCTCGAGTAGCAGCACCAATGCAATTGAATTTTAGAATTTGGCTTAGAAAGAAGAGTGGTCTCGGACCAGTGTTTTCAAGATAAATCAGGGTAACTATGGACATGAAAGTTGAGTCAGCTGAAATGAACTGGCTGACAAGAATGGATCAATTGAGTTTTTGTGGTAGAAAATTAATAAGATGCTGCAGAATATGGATTAGAGTGTTAAGTAGAAGCTAGCTAGAATTCTAAAAATAGGTAGCAAGCGTTTGTACAAGTATTTAAGGGAGAGATGATCCTCTAGAGTGAGAATGGGAAGTTAATAGATAAATGACAGAAGTAATGAATAAATATTTTTGTCTTCATGTTAGATATGCAAAAAAGTTCCATTTAAGACTAGAGGTAGAAGTGAGATGGAGACTTGATAAAAATATAAGCATCCTAAACAAACTGGAGATAGTAAGAACTGCCGATGCTGGAGTCAGAGATAAGTGTGGTGCTGGAGGAACACGGCAGACCAGGCAGCATCAGAGGAGCAGGAAAGTTGATGTTTAGGGTCAGGACCCTCCTTCAGAAATGGGGGAGGGGGAAGGGAGCTCCAAAATAGAGAGAGGAGGGGTGGGGCTGGGGAAGATAGGTGGGATGGTGATAGGTGAATGCAGGTAAGGAATGGTAGGGATTGGTCAGTGAGGTGGGAGGAGCGGATAAGTAGGAGAGAAGATCGACAGGTTGCGTCAGGTCAAGGAGGCAGTGATGAAAGGAGGGTTGGCCAGGGGTGGGGAGTTTTTCAAACTGGTAAAGTCCGCATTTAGGTTGTAGGCTCCCAAGGCAGAATGAGGTGCTGCACTACCAGTTTCCGGTTGGCTTCATTGTGATACTTTACTCAGAGTAGTAAGGGCGTGGAATGCCCTGCCTGCAAAAATAGTAGACTCGCCCACTTTAAGGGCATTTAAATGGTCATTGGATAAACATATGGATGATAATGGAATAGTTTAGGTTAGATGGGCTTCAGATTGGTTTCACAGGTCGGTGCAACATCGAGGGCCGAAGGGCCTGTACTGCGCTGTAATGTTATATGTTCCATGTTCTATGTTCTATGATACTGGAGAAGGCCCGTGATGGACATGTTGTCCAGGGAGTGGGAGGGGGAGAGGAAATGGTTCGCGACCAGAAGGTGTTGTCATTTGTCGCGAACAGAGCGCAGGCGCTCTACAAAGCGGTGTTCGAGCCTCCGCTTGGTGTCTCCAATGTAGAGGAGGCCACATTAGGAGCAGCAGATGCAGTAGACCTCGTTGATGGATGTGCAGGTGAACCCCTGTCTGATGTGGAAGGTTTGTTTGATGCCTCCCCACCACCTCCATTCAAGGCACCAAATGATTACTTATTACTTTGGTTTGACGCTCGGCGTGCGACTCTCATCTATCATGTTATTCCAGTCATTTGGTTTGTCTCCAGCACCACCTTATTTTTGAATTTTTTTTGTAATTATATCTGTTTCATTTAGTCGTATTACAGGTCATCCTTTCGCTTGTTTTTCAACTGTTGACACTTTATTCACACAGTCTGATACTCTTGGTCACCTGCAGAGTCTTATTATTCGACACTCCATTCATGCCATTTGTATGATGTTTTGATCTTTCTGCCCTTGATCTCTCTGTCCATAAATTCTGTGTTCTGTGTGCTTCTCTCTCACTTGACCTGATGAAGAGGCTATGCTCCAAAAGCTTGTGGTTTCAAATAAACCTTTTAGACTATAAACCTGGTGTCAAGTGACCTTGAGAAATTTCTTCTTAGTGTAGTGAATCTGTGGAGTTCTGTAAAACAACATAAACAGCAAGTGATACGTAGGACTAAGACATTCCATAACTAATAGTGATGGCCATGTCCTGCCAGTGGTGTTGGCAAACAGATTATATACATCATGGACACCTTTGTAATGGGGTGGGGGGGATGCATTCGGTTTTGGAATTTTTAATATAGATATTCAGAGATGACTTTCAATTTAGTGTAAAAATCATCTCATCATTGAACCACAAGTTTACATTACTGTGCTTTTATTCTGTTCAAGATCAGTTCTGCTTATTTAAGGTGTACATGATGGAACTACATAATAGATTTTAAACTGGACATTCATAAGACTGCACTGCATGCCTGCATTCAACCTTGAGATTTGGGATCTGTCTTTTTCTGTGGTGCATATCACTGCAATATACATTGCAGATTTGCGATGACTGATTTTAATGAAACTGTAATGCAGACTATTCCAGAATTGGGAAAAGGTATGTGTACATTGAAATTGTGAAAGTCTGTTTATTGTGTAGAAGTAATTTCACTTATTTTTTTTTCCCCCTCCCTCCTTCCCTGGCTGCCTATGCCCCTCTTGCTCTTGCTGTCTTTCTCTCTCTGTCGTGCTCGCTCTCGTTCACTCACTTTTTTTTCTCTCTCGTTCACTACCCCCATCCCCCACCCCCCACCACCACCCTTTGTTTTGAGCAGTTGGATTTGCCTCTTAGTCTATCATTTTACAAATGGATGCTGCGGCAAGAAATTTCCCTCTGCTCTCATGACCTTTTCAACATTGATCCAGTTGTAGCAAAATCAATTTGTCATCTTGAGGATATCATAAAACAAAAGAAGAAATTAGAGCAGGACAGATCACAGGTAAGAATGAAAAATGTCAGTTTAACCATTTTGCCTCCTGGCACCCTGTATCCTTACACCTGAAACAAGTGCATTTCTGGCATTGCGCGTAAAAGAATATCTGACTTAAAACAAAGGGCAGTTTTGTTTGATTACGGTTGCAACATGTAGGCAGTTAAACTAAATATTATGGGTTAGCGCCATTATTGCTTATCTACGCTTCATATATTCAACTCCCTTAACAAACCATCTCTCTCTTTCCCCTAAAACATTATCCTAATGTGCCTGTTCACACAAAGTGAGCACCTTCATGTTTGAGAAATTCATGGAGAAAATTGAGCAGCTTACTGGGCTACCTTGCCCTGTACTTTCAGTTCTCCATATTTGCTGTTCTAAATTTGAAAAGCATTGTATGCATTTAAGGCTCCTGAAGAAGCATGTTCATTTATCACAAATTTGTAAGGAGATCTCCGTTATCTGTAAGAATAATCAGGTGGTTATATAAGGGAATATTAACTTACCAAACATCAACTGGGATTGCCATAGTGTTAAGGGCTTGGATGTAGAGGAATTTAAGCATGTACAAGAAACTTTTCTGATTCAGGATGTGGATGTACCTACGAGAGAAGGTGCAAAACTTGACCTATTGTTGGGAAATGAGGCAGGTCAGATGACTGAGGTGTCAGTGGGGAGCACTTTGGGGCCAGTGACCATAATTCTATTAGTTTTAAAATAGCGATGGAAAAGGATACGTCGGATCTAAAAGTTGAAGTTCTAAATTGGAGGAAGGCCAATTTTGACGGTATTAGGCAAGAGCTTCCAAAAGTTGATTGGAGCCAGGTGTTTGCAGGTAAAAGGACAGCTGGAAAATGGGAAGCCTTCAAAAATGAGAGAATGACAGTCCAGAGACAGTATGTTCCTGTTAGGGTGAAGGGCAAGGCTGGTAGTTGTAGGGAATGCTGGATGACTGGAGAAATTGAGGTTTTGGTCAAGAAAAAGGAGGAAGCTTATGTCAGGTATAGACAGCAGACATCGAGTGAATCCCTAGAAGAGTATAAAGGCAGTAGGGGTATGCTTAGGAGGGAAATCAGGCGGGCAAAAAGGGGACATGAGATAGCTTTGGCAAGTAGGGTTACGGAGAATCCAAAGGGATTCTACAAATACATTAAGGGCAGAAGGGTAACAAGGGAGAATAAGACCACTTAAAGATCTGCAAGGCCGTCTGTGTGGAGATGGGGGAGATATTAAACAAGTATTTTGCATCCGAGTTTACTGTGGAGAAGGATTTCAAGATAGAGAGCGAATGGAAATAAATGGCGACATCTAGAAAAATGTCCATTCTACAGAGGTTGTGGTATTGGACGTCTTGAGGTGGATATATCCCCAGGACCTGATCAGGTGTATCCAGAACCCTGTGGGGAGCTAGGGAAGTGATTACTGTTCCCTTTGCTGAGATATTTGTCTCATCAATAGTTGTAGGTAAGGTGCCAGAAGACTGGAGGATGGCTAACATGGTGCCACTATTTAAGAAAGGTGGTAAGAAAATGGAGGGAACTATAGACCGGTGAGCCTGACATCAGTGGTGGGCAAGTTGTTGGAGGGAATCCTGGGGGACAGGATTTACATGTATTTGGAAAGGCAAGACTGATTAGGGATAGTCAACATGGCTTTGTGTGGGAAATTGTGTCTCACTAACTTGAGTTTTTTTTTGAAGAAGTAACAAAGAGGAATGATGAGGGCAGAGTGATGGATGTGATCTATATGGGCTTCAGTAAGGCATTTGACAAGGTTCACACGGAATACAGGGAGAACTAGCCATTTAGATACAGAACTGGCTTGAAGGTAGAAGACAGTGTGGTGGTGGAGGGTTGCTTTTCAGACTGGAGACCTGTGACCAGCGGTGTGCCACAAGATTGATGCTGGGTCCACTGCATTTCGTCATTTATATTAAATGGTTTGGATCTGAATGTAGGGGGTATAGTTAGTAAGAGTGGAGGTGTAGTGGACAGGCTAGAAGGTTACCTCAGAACAATTGGATCTTGATTAGGTGGGCTGAGGAGTGGCAAAGGAGTTGAATTTAGATAAATGTGGGGTGCTGCAGTTTGGAAAGGTAAATCAGGGTAGGGCCCATGTACTTAATCGTCAGGTCCTGGCGAATGTTGCTGAATAAAGAGACCTTGGAGTGCAGGTTCATAGTTCCTGGAAAATGGAGTTGCAAGTAGACAGGATAGTTTTGTTGGTATGCTTGCCTTTATTGGTCAGTGCACTGAGTATAGGAGTTGGGAAGTCATGTTGCGGCTGTACAGGACGTTGGTTAGGCCACTTTTTGGTCTCCCTGCTATAGGAAGGATGTTGTGAAACTAGAAAGAGTTCGGAAAAAATTTACGAGAATGTTGGCAGGGTTGGAGGATTTGAACAATAGGGAGAGGCTGAATAGGCTGGGGCTATTTTCCTTGCAGCGGGGACTGAGGGGTGATCTTAGAAAGATTTATAAAATCATGAGGGGCATGGATCGAGTGAATAGCCAAGGTCCTTAAGACATCCGGTACCACTGTCTGAAATATGGACGTTTTTCAAGATGTTGCTATTTATTTCCACACATTATCTTCCACATCCTTTTCCACAGTAAACAGATGCAAAATACTCATTTAGTATTCTGTGGCTCCCAGATAGGGGAGACCAAAACTAGAGGGCATAGGTTTAAGATGAGAGGAGAAAGATTTAAAAGGGGCAACTTTTTCACAGAGGGTGGTGCGTGTATGGAATGAGCTGCCAGAGAAGGTGGTGGAGGCTGGTACAATAACAGCGTTTAAAAAGTATCTGTATGGGTATAGGAAGGGTTTAGAGGGATGTGGGCCAAATGCTGACAAATAGGACTAGATTAATTTAGGATACCTGGTCAGCATGGACGAGTTGGACTGAAGAGTCTGTGCAGCTCTGACTCTATCAAGTTTTCTCATTCATTGGTTTGACTGCCAAGACTTGTTTTTCTTGCGTGGCATTTTGGGAAACGGCCTGTTATTTGGCATATCCCAATGAGACAAACTCTCATCAACCCTCATCTTAGAAATTAGTCCAGTTTTGATTTTTCCAGAGAGGCTGACGTTTCGGGCCTAGACCCTTCATCAGAAAAGGGGGAGGGGAAGGGGGTTCTGAAATAAATAGGGAGAGAGTGGGAGGCAGATAGAAGATGGATAGAGGAGAGGATAGATGGAGAGGAAACAGACAGGTCGAAGAGGCGGGGATGGAGCCAGTAAAGGTGAGTGTAGGTGGGGAGTTAGGGAGGGGATTGGTCAGTCCAGGGAGGACGGACAGGTCAAGGGGGTGGGATGAGGTTAGTCGGTAGGAGATGGAGGTGCGGCTTGAGGTGGGAGGAGGGGATAGGTGGGAGGAAGAACAGGTTAGGGAGGCAGGGACGAGCTGGACTGGTTTTGGGATGCGGTAGGGGGAGGGGAGAATGTAGCATGTTTTCATTTTCAGAAGTGCACATTTGCTAAGTTCCCAATGAGCTTGCTGTTTAGTTCTTGACTTGCCATGCTGTAGTGACCTTACTTTGCAGACTTGGCTGAGTTTGACGGATGGCCATCTGATCTTCCATGGTCGATCTCTCTCTAAGGAGGTTTTGACTTAGTTATTTTCTCTTTAAACATCCCGTGTACATTTTGTGGAAAATTAAAACTTTGAAGTTACCAAGGGCAGGTATTTAGAGTATATAACAAGATTAGATTTAATGTTGTCAATATGGATCTCTTGATAGAGCAAAGAATGTCTTCAACAGGCTCTGGAAAGCCTCAATATGAATGGCTGCTCTGTGGAAGATCTTGGACTGGACTTCACACTACCTGGATATGCCAGTGTTGAACTGAAAAAAGGAGGGAAGGATACAGTTGTCACCATACACAATTTGGAGGAGTATCTCCGGGTATGTACTGTGTAATTTTCATCTGTATAAAATAAACAGTGAATAAACTTGGACCATAAGAGGTCTGTGACCAGCAGTCTTCCACAAGGATCAATGCTGGGTCCACTTGTGTTTGTCATTTATATAAGTGATTTAGATAAGAATATAGAAGGCAGGGTTAGTAGGTTTGTGGAAGATACCAAAATTGGTGGAATAGTCGACAATGAAGAAGGTTGTCTAAGATTACAAAGAGATTTTGATCAATTTGGTCAATGGGCTGAGAAATGACAGATAGAGTTCAATCTTGGTAAAGCAGACAAGGGCAGGACTTGTGCAATTAATAGTACAGCACTGTGTGCTGTTGTTGAACAAAGACCTAGGAGTTCAGGTGCATAATTCTTAGAAATTTGCATCACAGGTAGGCAGGGTGGTTAATAAGGCATTTAGCACACTTGTCTTCATTGCTCAGACTTTAGCACAGGCTGTCATGTTGAGGTGGTGTGAGGACGTTGATGAGGTGTCTTCTGGAATACTGTGTGCAGTTCTGGTTTTCCTGCTATAGGAAAGATAATAAATTGGAGAGGGCTGAGAAAAGATTTACCAAGATGTTGCTGGGAATGGAGAGTTTGAGATATAAAAATACACTGGAAAGAATGGGACTTTTTTTTTCACTGGAGCATAGGAGGTTCAGAAGTGACTTTTTTATAGAGGCTTATAAAATCATAAGGGGTATAGATAAGGTGAATGGCAGGTGTTTTTTTCTCTACAGTGTGGGATTTCAAGATGGGGCATATTTTTAAGGTGAGAGGAGAGAGACTTGAAAAAGACATGGGTGGTTAGTCCGTGGAAAGAACTTCAAGAGGGAGTGGTGGATGTGGCTACAGTTACAATATTTTAAAAAAACATTTAGTTAAGTATGTGAATAAAAAATCTTTGGAAGAATATAAGCCAAGCGCAGGCAGGTGGGGCTTATGTTTGCGATTATTGCCAGCATGGACTGGTTGGACCAAAGGGTTTGTTTCTGTGCTGTATCTCTGTATGTAGAGGGAAAAGTAGGCAATTTGATCCGTCAAGTCTACTCTGCTTTTCAGTTATTCTCATTTTCGTCCTAACTGGGTGAGCCCTTACTCAGAGATGATGACATTTGGTCCTAGTCTGTCCCAAAAGAGGAAATAATCTCTCCACAACTATCATGTCAAGCACTCCTACGAATCTCGTGTTTCAATAAGGTCACTTCTCACTCTTCTAAACGCCAATGAGTACAGGCCCGACCTACTCAATCTCTCCTCATAAGAAAATCTCTTCAGACCCTGGATCAACCTGGTGAGCCTTGTCTGAGCTGCCCAGGGGACCAAAACTCTTGGCAATGTTATAGGTATGGTCTAACCAGTGCCTTTTGTGTAGATAGTTATAGCAAGAGTTCCCAATTTTTATACACTGTCCCTTTTGAGATAACAGCCAACATTCTGTTTGCCTTGACTAATATCAGCCTGCTGAACGTGGCATGCTAGCTTTTTGTGATTTTTTTTTTTTTTTTTTTTTCTTTGCATGAGAGCCCCTAAATCCCTCTGCAGCTTTCAATTTAAAAACTACTGTGCTGCTGTATTCTTCTTTCTAAACTGTGTAACCTCACATTTTCCGTCTGTCAACTTTTTACCCACGTGCTCCACCTGACTACAACCCTCACCAATGGCCTTCCCACCTATTTTTGTCATCCACGGACTTGGCAGTAGGTCCCTGTGGCACTCTACTTGTTACATTTTGTGATCCTAAAAATGTCCCCCTTATATGAGTTCTGTCTTCTATTAGTCAGGCAAACCTTTATCCATGCTAAAAACTACCCCAACACTGGACTCTTATTCAGGAACCTAATCTGTGGTACCTTATTTTATGCCTTTTGGAAATACAAATGTATTTTGTGGTTGGTTGGCTTGCCGAGCCGATTTGTTGTTCTGCAGACATTTCATTACCCTGCTGGGTAATATCAGTGCAGCATCCGATGAAGCGCCGTTGTATTTTCCCACCTGTTATTTAAACTCTGGAGTCCGTTGAGCTGGATTACCTCACTTCCGGTCTTCCTTTGCACTGGAGTGTATATGGGGTCGAGCTCTGTGTTTGTTGATGGCTTTCTTAGTGGAGTTCCAGGCTTCTAGGAATTCCCGTGCCTGTCTCCAACCAACCACAACATCCACAACCCGAGCTACATATCTAATCTAAAACCTTAGATACAAATGTATTATGTGTGTTGATTCCCCTCTTATTTATTCTGCTTGCTACTTTCATAAAGAATTCTCACCAACTAGTCAGGCTTGATTTCCCCTTCATGATGCCATGTTGACTCTGCTTGATGGTAATATGTATTTCTAAATGCTGTGTTCATACTTGCTTTGTAACATTTTCCCTAGTGACGGGCCTACATATATATATTTTTTTTCTTTTCTTTTAAATCTCCTTTCCTTTTTGAATAATCGTGTAACATTGGCAGTTTTCAAACCCTCAGACTTTTCCAGAACTCTAATGGTTCATAGTGATAATCTTCTGCCCTTGTAGCTGCTTCCTTCAGTATCCTAGAATGTAGGCCATCAGGTCCAGGGGACTTGTTGGCATTTAAGTCCCATTAATTCTCCTAGTACTATTTCTCTAGTGATAGTTACTGGACTTATTTCCTCCCCAGCCTTGATTATTTCATTATCTTGGAACTGTTACTGTCTTTTACCTGTGAAGAATGAGGCAGAGGATTTATTCAACTCCTGTGCCCTTTCCTACTTCTTCAGTATTATTTCCCCAGCCTAATTTTCTAAGGATTCTGTGTTCACTTTGGCCTATCTTTGCCTTTGGATATATTTAACTGTTGTCAATTTTGGTAAGTCTTGCTACTTTATCCATAAAGTTTCCTTTCTCCTCTTGACTTTTTTGGTATCTTTTCTTTATTTCCTGATCCTGTGGCTTACCACGAATCTTTTTCACATTGTATGTTTATTTTCTTTTAATTTGGTACTGTCCTGAACTAACTTGGTTAACCATGGCTAGTTTAACCCCTTCCTTGAATATTTCCTCACTGGGATATGTCATTGCTGTGAGTCATGAACAATTCACTTAAACGACTGCTATTGTTCCTCACCTATGTTTTCTGCTAAACTCCTTTCCCAGTCTACTTTAGTCAAGCCTACCCTAGTTCCTTTGTAATTAGCCTAATTTAAATTTAGCAGAGCTGTTTCTGACCCAGGTGCTAAAATTTACCATGCTATGGTCTATAGGAGCAAAATTGGGCCATTTGGCCCATTTGAGTCTACTCCACCATTCGATCATGGCTGATACGTTTCTCAACCCCATTCTTCTGCCTTCTTCCCATAACCCTTGATCCTTTTATCAATCAAGAAACTATCTCTGTCTTAAATAGACTCAATGACTTGGCCTCCACAATGAGTTCCACAGATTAAGCACCCTCTGGTTCAAGAAATCCTTCCTCATCCCAGTACTAAACAGTCATTTCATCACTCAATGTGCCGTCGGGTCCTGGTCTCTTCCTACAAGTTAAAAGGTCTTCCCCATGTCCACTCTATCCAGGTGTCTCAGTATTCTGTAAGTTTCAATCAGATTCCACTGCCCCCCCCCAATCAATCTAAACTACCAATTACAGACCTAAAGTCCTCAGTTGCTCCTCATATGATCATTCTTGTAAAGCTCTTCTGGATCCCCTCCAACACCAGCACATCCTCCTTTAGATACACTGTATTCTAAACGCAATCTGACTGGAGCCTTGTACAACCTCAAAAGTACATCTCTGCTCTTGTATCCCCTTGAAGTAAATGCTGACATTGCATGAGTCTGGCAACTGAACTTGCATGTTAACTTTAAGAGAATCCTGAAATAGGACACCCAAGTCCCTTTCATGCTTCAGATTTCCAAAGCCATTCCCCATTGAGAAAATAGTCTGTGCCTCTTCTTCCTACCAAAGTGCCATAACCTCATACTTTCCCACATTACATTATATTTGCCACTTCTTTGCCCATTCTCCCAGCCTGGTCAAGTCTTTCTGCAGCCTCCCTGCTTCCTCCACACCACCTGCCCTCCCCTTATCTTTGTGTTATCTGCAAACTTCACAACAATGCCTTCAGTTCCTTCGACCAGATTGTTAATGCATAATGTGAATAGTTGTGGTTCCAGCACTAAGCCCCTAGTGACCCTCTTGTCACAGGCTGCCATCCTGAAAAAGACCCTTTATTTCTACTCTCTGCCTTTTGCCAGTCAGCCAATCCTCTATCCATGCCATTACCTTGCCCTGACATCATGGGTTCTTCTCTTACTTAGCAGCCTCCTGTGCAGCACCTTGTCAAAGGCCTTTTGGAAATCCAAATAGATCGTACCTACTGGCTCTCCTTTGTCTCACTTGCTCATTTCCTCCTCAATGAATTCTAACAGATTTGTCAGGCATGACCTCCCCTTGATCGAAGCTGTGCTGACTTTCCCTATTTTACCGTGCACTTCTGAATAGTCTGCAATCTCCTCCTTAATAATGGGCTCTAAAATCTTTACCAGCGACTAAGGTCAGGCTAACCTGCCTAGAGTTTCTGGTCTTCTGCCTCCTCCCTTCTTAAACTGGGATGGTCAGTGTTTCCTAGGGAATCTTTTACTGTGAGATCATTAATTAAACCTGTCTCTTTACACATCACCAGATCCAAAATAGCCTGATTCCTGGTTGGATCCACAGCATATCCTTCTAGAAACCTGCCCCAAATACACGCTGAATTCTTCTTCATGGCTCCCTGCGCCAATTTGAATTTCCTTATCAGTATGAAGATGACAGTCATGCCTGATTCGTGCACTGACTTTTTTTTTAACGTGCTGTAATTTTCTCGACTTATCTTCTGTCATACAACATAGCTGCTGTTAGGGGACCCAAAGACTACTCCCATAACATGTCTTCTATTGTATATCTTTGGGTCCATGATAATTTCTTGCTATCAAGTATGTTCCATCCCATACTAAAGAAGCTACCCCTCATTCCTACCATTCCTTTCTGCCTGTCCTTTCAAAAAGTCACATACTTCTGAATATTTAGTTTCCAGCTTTGATCTCCTTGTAATCATGTCTCCATAATGGCAGTAAGAGCATGCGGGTTAACTTCTAATTTTGCTTTAATTCATGTAGTCTTTGGAACAAAATATCAGCATTTAAGTGAAGAGCCACTGACTTGCCTTTATAACCATGTTTTCCCCCTTTGACCATATTTATAGTTTTTCAGTGCTTGTACTCACTCACCCTTCATGTGACTGCTGCAAAGCTGCCATGTTCTTTTGCCCTTTCAAGTCCATGGTTGCCCTCTCCTGAACCCTCATCCCCTTAAATTAATTTAAAGTTTTTCCAACTCATCAATTTTTGATTTTTGTCCCAATGTGGTGCAAGTGAAGCCTGTCCCTTGGTTAGAGCTCCCTTCTACTTCAGTTCTGATGCCAATGTCCCGTGAGTTGAAACTCATTCTTATGCCAGTTTTGCGTCATCAGTCTTTGCATTTACCTCCTTGATTTTATTTACCTTTGCCAGATTTCCTGTGGCTTGGTTACTAATCCCAAGATTATTACCTTATAAAGTCTGCTTTTTAAATAAGCTTCAAATTGTTCAAAATCTCCACTTAGAATCTCCTTTCTAGTCCTTTTTCAATGTCATAAGTAACTTTGCTCCTGTGCCTCTAAGTATAAAAATCCAGTGGGGTGTCTCATTTTCTGTTGATTTTCAAATCTTTGCAACAGTTTCTAATTGGGAAATGTGAAATGTAAAACTCCTGAGATTATTCAACTATTATTCGGATCATTATATGACTAAAGCTCCATGTATCTTGCTCAGGAAGTCTTGTGGATCTTATTTTAATGGCTGTTATCAATTGGAATAGCTAAGTTCCTGTGGTCAAACACAATTGCCTGCAGTTATACCAAGCAAATGTTTTCAATTTGCCTAGTCGTTTCCCCAGAATGAGTTGCCTGGATGCATAATAGTCACAGTTAACTGCACATACTGTATGTTAATTTTTGCATATCTGTTAATTTTAAAGCTTATTGGAAATCCTTATAGGTTTTCATGAAATAGTAATGGTGAAAGATCAGCTTGTCTGCAGAACAGAGTCGATGATCCTAAGTATTCTAAATAAGAACTGCTTAAATTGGCAAACATATTATTTTACTGTGAGACCATTTACATTATTGGTTGACTTCTGCCTGATTGATATGAGCTAGAAGGATGCAACAAACCAGATATGTACTTACCTAGTCAAAGGCCACCTCACTAGGAACAATTTTAAAAATGGGTGCAGTTTCGTTTGGTAAATAGTCATTCCCATTTGAAGTTGGTTTCCTCATGCTAAATGTTGTTTTGATGCATTGACATCCCGAAGTGTTAATTATTTCAAGCACTTTTCCTTGTGTCATTGGTAATTTAGTCTCTGGAATCCAAATTCAGTACATACACCAACTTTTTTTTTTAAACAAAGTACATTGCTTTCTAATCCTTGGATCACTCCTGATTTAAAATTAACTTTTAAAGCTGTTGCTTCTGTTTTTTTATAATTTTAAAATATTTTTTCATCTTTTTTTAAGAATGGAAGAACTATGATCTCCCATTTTTACTTGCTGCCCTCTTCAAGACAAAGTATTTTGCTGAATGTTTTTGTTAGTATTAAAGTGCCAATTTCTGGCCTTTTTCTTAAATGGCCAATAATTTATTTCCAGTTGACAGAAGTTCCAACATCATTGCTGTCACTCTTCATCTCTACCCTACAGACATGGGTTAAGTCTCTACATACATACTAATCAAAGCCAGCTCTACTTTGGCTCTGTTGTTTTCCATACCTCCACTGCCTACATGTTGGATTACTTGCTTCATGTCCAGTCATGCATTTGTTGCAGTTTCTTCCAACTGAACGTTATGGATTGTGAGGCGATTGTCTTCAGACCTTCATCACTGAAGCATTGAACCCTCAGTTGGATTTCATCCATTTCTCTTCCCGTTGTCACACGCTAAAACATAGGATGCAAAGGTAGTGAACCTATTAACTTCCCATTGTAAGGACTACGTATTTCTGACTCAACACCTCTAACACTAGTCCATCTGCTGTTGAAATTTTAGACTCTGCTTTTGCAACCTAAGATTTTAGAGTAGATTTGCAGCTCGGGTTGTGGATGTTGTTGGTTGGCTCGCCGAGCTGGTTCATTGCTCCGCAGACATTTCATTACCCTGCTGGGTAACAACATCAGTGCGGCCTCCGATGAAACACCGTTGTGTTTTCCCGCCTGTTATTTAAACTCTGGGGTCCGTTGAGCTGGATTACCTCACTTCCGGTTTCCCTTCACAATGGAGTGTATATGGGGTCTAACTCTGTTTATTGATGGTTACCTTTTACCATCCTGCGGACGTTGTGTTTGCTGTTTTACGAGCGAGGGGGTTGTATTTCACACTGCGTGGTAATATCTGGTTCCTAAGGCATCCATGTAGGAACCATGTTGCAACTTGCAAACTCACCATTGCATGACTGAGTAGCTCCTCATCCAATAATCTCAGTAAACTTCAATTTAACCAAACTTTTTTTTCCTCCATATCTTATTCTACAGCAAACTCTGTGCCCATCACCTTGTCCTTTCTGACTTACAATGACGCCTGGCAGTTAAGTTTCTCCAATTCTATTGGCCCATCCCAGCCGAAACTCTACTTTTGTGATGGTGTCAACTTTTGTCCAATTATATCGTCCTGAAGCATTTTGGGAATGTACCTGTCTGTTAAATGCACATTTATAATTGCAAGTACTTATGATTCAGCATAATTGGAGATGTGTTTCCTTCTGCAGCTGGTAGTTTACTGGACCTTGAATGAAGGTGTTTCTAAGCAGTTTGAATCTTTTCGAGATGGCTTCGAGTCAGTTTTTCCACTCCATCACTTGCAGTATTTTTACCCTGAGGAGGTTAGTTTCTTGCGGTAATATACTTACCTGGTCAAAGGTCAACTTGCTGGGAGCAACTTTAAAAATTTATGCAATATGCTATCAGAACTAGATAGCTGTTCCCAGTGAAGTTGCTTTCTTTAAATCTAAATGTTATGTCGATGCAGTGACATCAATGATGGTTGTGCTTAAGACTGCATGAACTAAACTTTATAATGCTTCAATAATATATCTTCCTCAGTTACTCAAACTAAGTTCAGAACTTTGGTTTTCAAATATAAAATATTTCAGTTCATGTTTATAATTTTGTAAAGCAAATCCATTCTTTAAAAAATTCATTTTCTTATGTGGAACTTCTGGCCTGTTACTTGGAAAATGGAGATTAATACTATTTTTAAGATTGCCATGAGGTTGTTTCCTGATACAATCAAGTATGCAAGTCAGTTTGTTCCTAAACATCTACACCCTATTGCATATGAAAGAACACCACTAATGCGTGACCTGTGTAGCTAGGCAAAGGCACATTTCTTCAATTGTGAGCGTGAAACATTGGCGATCAGGTGTCATCCACAACAGCTGGTCTCCCATTTTGATTTTGATGGCATGTAAAGCTATTTGTTGCCTAAATAATGGAAAATTAAAGGACATTTTACTGCTCAATGCAAGTACAACTTGCATTCTGGTCATAGACAGATTTAAGTCCATTATCTTGAGTACCATCTAAATTTCCTTTTGTATTAACTAGTGTTATAGAACATAGAACATAATAGCGCAGTACAGGTCCTTCGGCCCTCGATGTTGCGCGGACCTGTGAAACCAATCTGAAGCCCATCTAACCTAAACTATTCCATTATCATCCATATGTTTAGCCACTGACCATTTAAATGCCCTTGAAGTTGGCGAGTCTACTACTGTTGCAGGCAGGGCATTCCACGCCCTTACTACTCTCTGAGTAAAGAACCTACCTCTGACATCTGTCCTATATCTATCACCCCTCAATTTAAAGCTATGTCCCCTCGTGCTAGCCACCACCATCCGAGGAAAAAGGCTCCCACTGTCCACCCTATCTAATCCTCTGATCATCTTGTACGTCTCTATCAAGTCACCTCTTAACCTTCTTCTCTCTAACGAAAACAGCCTCAAGTCCCTCAGCCTTTCCTCATTAGACCTTCCCTCCATACCAGGCAATATCCTGGTAAATCTCCTCTGCACCCTTTCCAATGCTTCCACATCCTTCCTATAATGTGGTGACCAGAACTGTGCACAATACTCCAAGTGCGGCCGCACCAGAGTTTTGTACAGCTGCAACATGACCTCATGGCTCCGAAACTCAATCCCTCTATCAATAAAACCTAACGTACTGTATGCCACCTTAACGCTATCAACCTGGGTGGCAACTTTCAGTGATCTATGCACATGGACACCGAGATCTTTCTGCTCATCCACACTACCAAGAATCTTACCATTAGCCCAGTACTCTGTATTCCTGTTACTCCTTCCAAAGTGAATCACCTCACACTTCTCCACATTAAACTCCATTTGCCACCTTTCAGCCCAGCTCTGCAGCTTATCTATGTCCCTCTGTAACCTGCAACATCCTTTCGCACTATCCACAACTCCACCAACTTTGGTGTCATCCGCAAATTTACTAACCCATCCTTCTACGCCCTCATCCAGGTCATTTATAAAAATGACAAACAGCAGTGGCCCCAAAACAGATCCTTGAGGTACACCACTAGTAGAACTCCAGGATGAACATTTCCCATCAACCACCACCCTCTGTCTTCTTACAGCTAGCCAATTTCTGATCCAAACCGCTAAATCACCCTCAATCCCATGCCTCCGTATTTTCTGCAATAGCCTACCGTGGGGAACCTTATCAAACGCTTTACTGAAATAATAATAATATAATCCTCTATTCTAGCATTCTCTACTGGCTCTCCAGTAATGTACACATCAGTACTGCTAATGACCTTCAACAAAGGTTATCAGTTCACAAATTAGTATTGCAGACAGCGTGTGCAAGGTACCGACATGTGAACAAGAGGATGGAAATTATTTGTCTCTCTGAGAGATTCATAGAAATGTAGAATGTCTATAGTGTGGAAAGAGGCCATTCGGCTCATTGAGCTGGCACAAACCCTCCGAAGAGCAGCTCGCCCAGACCAAGCCCCATGCAATCCCTGCAACCCCACATTTACTATGCCTAATCCACCTAGCCTGCACATCTCTGGACACTAAGGGCAATTTAGCATGAACCTAACCTGCATGTATTTGGACTGTTGGAGGAAACCCATGTGGACATGGAGAGAACGTGTAAACTCCACACACAGTTGCCCAAGGGTGGACTCGGGTCCCTAATACTGTGAGGCATCACTGCCAACCACTGAGCCACTGTGCTGACCATGATATAAATATTGACATAGATGCTGTCACCAATCCAGAAATTTAAGGATAATTTTGGTAGGTATATTCTCAAAAGAAAGGTTCACGTCTCATCAGTGAGGAAACGTCACTGGTACACAATTTGGCCTTCTGTTACTTCATCAAGCAAGCTCACAGACTCCTACTGAAGCTTGCCTCTGCCAAACGCCAAAGTCTTAACCAGGTTGTGTTTGTAGCTCCTTGTTTGCTGCAATTCAAATTAAGTGTTGCAAGGCTGCCTTGTAAGATAGTGAACCTGCCCAAAAGGTGCTGATTCAAAAATCCTGCTGTTATATCAGGTGATCAGTATTTTAATTGAGAAGGAAATCATGGTTTCGGTGCTTGAGTCAAATATTTTGATAAATAAAATTTAGATTGAAAATCCTACACTTCCCTTTCCTGGCTGGCCTTTTGTTGACACTGACATTGAGACAACTTGCAGAAACTTACCTGGATCTTCTCATCCAAAATTTAGGCCCTAACCTTTACTTTCTCAGGAATAGTGAGATTTTAAATATGCTGTTGCTTTCCTTTGTAATTTCTAACTGAGGGAAACAAAAGGGTAATGTCTGTGTAAATGGTTTCATTCCTGCCATAATTAAGCACTGGTGTAATGAGATTTAAACTATGTTTCATATCTGGATCATTCTAATGAATTGTCTTATCTCAAAGCCAAAGACCCTTAATGCATCAACTTGAAATTATTTGAGTTATAAGCCATATGTCAAACTTATAGGAATTTTCTAACACATAAACATAATTGCAAAAGAATATGGTAGAAAATGTCATAAGCAATAAAGTAATATCTCATTAGTAATGAATAAACCAAGATAGCCAAGAGTAATTAAGGCACGAGAATGTGTTGAGTAAACTTTACGTATTCCCTCTACATGCCATTCTAACTTAGACAATTCGAACTGGCTTTGTATGAGTTACCAAAGTTGAAATCTAAAAACGTGTTTGATTTGATGGCATAAAATGATGGAGGTTTACAGCATAGCTGAATATTGAACTTCTGTTAGTTTACTGTGAAAGCAAACCAAAACTAATATGTCATTCTTCTTACACTCCAAGTGCCTCTGATTATCTGTTTCAGATATTTAAAAGCTTGTGTCTTGTGCCTCTCCCCTCTCTGTACAACAAAACATTCTTTGTTAAAACCCATATATAAGAAATTTGGTGAAACTTTTCACTGGTGATTATAACTCCCTTGTTACTGATTTGGCACTAAAAGAAATGGTTTTTTCATATTTGCTTTTACTAAGAATGCATAATTTTGACCACTTGTAAATTTTTTAGTCTGCAATGGTATAATAAGCAAAAAGCAATCGCTTTAATAATGCACTTTCCTCTAAATTCACATTTATTTGCTCTAATATTTTTGTTTAATCAATAGTTGGATCAGCTACTCTGTGGCTCCAAATCAGAGGCATGGGACGTGAAAACTTTAATGGAATGTTGCAGGCCAGATCACGGATATAATCATGACAGGTACAAATATTTCACCTGGAATTGTGTAACTTTTAATATATCTCAGCATTCAAACTGCTACCTAAATATAACCTATGAATTTCTGGAGAACTTGTCCCCAGTATCTGCCACGCTTTGAGAAGACCAAAGCCCAGAGAAACAACAACATCCATTTTGGGCAATTCTGACTTCTTTTTTTGTTTGCAAAGGTTTGTTAGATGATGTCGGATCACCACCCAAACCCAAGTCTTTAGGCATAATGGGAAACATTACATGTGAAGCAGTTTTGTTTGGACTAAGATTATTTGGTGTGAGCAAGTATTTACAACGAAGAACAAACTGTTCAGGCCAACTGGTCTGCGCTGGTGTTTATGTTCCCCTAAGAGCCTGATCTATCTTTTTGTAACCCCAATAACATTTGATTTGTTGCTGTCAGAATTCTTTATTGGATTTATTTTTGTACCTAATTTTTATTGGTTATCGTTTTGTTCTCACCTGCATGTGGAAATGTTGATTCTATGTTTACTGAGAAACCCCTTGGTAATCTCCTATGTGCTGTCAGATCATCTTGGTCTGCCTTGAGAAAGCAGACTGTGATCTTTCCTGACAGGTATAAGTTTTCAGGTCTCATACATGGTAGAATTTTTATATTTTTGCTGCTTACAGTGCACTTCTATTCTTGTTATAGCAATTAAAATTGTACTCCCAGGTGTTCCCTAATTAAAGTGCCTATACAAACTGAATATTTCTTTTCTGTTACTCCCAGAAATTAACCCTAATGAATTTTTCTTTTTAATAACACATTAAACCGCATCACAACTTTTTACTGATCTATAATTTTTGTAATCCTCCAATCTCTCTCCCACTCAGTGCTATTTTCCAATGTCCATGTAACATTTATTGCCCCTACCCAAAATACATTGTCTTGTATTAATTGAAGTTCATGTGTCATCACCTGATAACTGTACAGTTTTTATTGATGTTGTCTTGCATTATGTTGTGGCCCTTTACTATTAACCATATCCACTAAAGGAACAGGTGTATGGTATTTAGCTCCTCGAGTCCATTGCACTGGTCAGTTAGATCGTGGTTGATCTATGGCCTAATTCTATACATTTGCTTTGGCCCATATTCCTTCATACCTTCTGCTGAACAAAAAATGATCCATCTGTGATTTAAAACGTACAACTGATGCAGTGTCAAACAAAAATTTTTAAATTGGACTTTTATGATCTGAATTCTAATCATTTATGTAAATAACAAACAACAGTGGGCTAAGCACCAGTCCTTGTAGATTACCATTTTGCACCATTTGTTTTGTATTTTGTCAGCAGCTTGATATCTATTCAGCTATATGTTGCCTGTTTCCAGTGCAGTCTCTGGTCTACTATGCAGTTGTTTGTTTTTTAATTGAAAAAAAGAAGGGTCTGGGCCCAAAACGTCAGCCTTCCTGCTCCTCTGATGCTGCTTGGCCTGCTGTGTTCATCTTGCTGTACACCTTGTTATCTAATGTCTACTCTGTTATCCTTTTACAGTGCTTTCTGACATTACTTCAAGGAATTTGTCATTTCTGCTGACTTGTATTTTCCATTTCTTTTATCCTTTACAGCTTTAAACAAGGATTCCATTAACTTGCCTACCCAATATTAAGCTAGTTGGTCTTTAGTATCCATTTTTGTATACCACTTAAGTTAGAATTGTATAAAGCAGTCACGAAGTTTATGCCATCATCGGCAGCAAAAAATCATGATAAAACCACAACAAGACACTGTTCACTTTTCAAATCTTTATGATCTTGCAGTATAAAACTGATTTCTCACCAAGGTAGACACTATAACAATATAATATTCAAATTGGTGTAACTCCTGGATTATGTGGATTGAAGTGTGGCATATCCTGTACAACAGTCATAACACAAGTAAATCTCTCAGCTTCACCTTCCCAAGATTCGATACATCTGACACTGAAACAGTATAAAGGAATTGCAGTAAATGCTGATTTGTGGAAACTGTTGTTTCTGGAGGAGCAGACACTACAGAAGATGTCAAATTAATAAAGTTGGTATTGTCTTTTTGTTGCTTTTGTCCCACAGTCGTGCCGTGAAATTTCTGTTTGAAATACTCAGTAGTTTTGATGGTGAGCAACAAAGACTATTTCTTCAATTTGTTACTGGAAGTCCACGACTACCTGTCGGAGGTAAGCCTGATCTTGCCACTTCTGTCACATTTGTTAACAAGGTGTAGAGCTGGATGAACACAGTGTTCATCCAGCTGTACACCTTGCTATCTCAGATTCTCCAGCATCGGCAGTTCCTACTATCTCTATCACATTGTTGGTGTGTTGAAGAAACACTGAGCTATAAAGTAACATGCTGGGCTGTAATGGATGTAAAGTATGAAATTAGGATTTTTGCATATCTCTGCATACTGGATTCTTCCACATTAGCTGAATAAAGCCATGTAACAGCAATCATAGCCTTTCTGTTGAAGTAGTATTGGCAGTTGTTTGGTACTGCAGCAAAAGCCTTCATTTAGTATTTACTGCTGTTTTCAAAATTTTGTATGTCAGTGTCATTGGCTAGGCCAGTATTTATTGCCAGTCCCTAATTGCCCAGAGGGCAGTTAAGAATCAGTCACATTGCTGTGGTCTGGAGTCATGTGTAGGCCAGATCGGGAAAGCTCCGATTTCCTTCCCTGAAGAACATTAGTGAACCAGATTTGGATTTTAAACCCTCAACAGTGGTTCAATTTTAGTTAAAAATTCAGATCTGCCATGGTGTGATTTAAACACGTGTCCCCTGAACATTAACACGAGGTTCTGGATTACTCGTCCAGTGACATTACCACAATGCCATCACCTGCCCTTTGTCAAGCAATGACTGCATTAGAAGGTACTCATTAGCTGTAATGTATTTTGAAATGTCTGGTCATGAGAAATGATGAATAAATGGAAGTTCATCTTTCTCTTCATGGTTCTTGCACTGTTCTGGTTTTCAATTCTGTTATAACTTAATTTGGAACAACCATTTGAGAGTTGGAACCCATTTGACCAAGGCTGTGACCATCTTGGGTCAATGAGGTGAAGCGTTACTCCCAAAACAGTCAAGCAGCTACTTGGATTAAATGTATTATTAACTTAAACACTGACTTGACCTTGTATTCGATGGAAAAAGGCAATTTGGCTTTATGCTTTAAGAAGTTGTTTATTTTCAAATTTCAGATGTCTTTCAGGTTTTTATCTATCTAATCATATGTGGATCGTTTGCAGATACGGATGGAAGGAAATAAAGCACTTGTATTTATAACATGGCTTTCACAAACTCCAGGCACCCAAAAACATCTGGTAGCTAATGCAGCACTTCAGAAGTTTAGTCAAGGAAGGGCACTGCAGCAACTATTTTGTGTCTGCTAGCCCTGCTAAGAATGAAATAAATTTGACAATTAAATTATTTGAATGATAGCTATTGGCCAAGGCACTGAGAGTAACCCCTGCTCTTCACATATAATTGTGAAGGCATAGTCAAAGGTTCTTCTGAAAAATGGTAACTCCCAGCAGTGCAGCACTGCCTCAATACTACACTGTAGTATAGCCTAGATTTATGTTTGGATTTTTGGAGTTGGGTTTGAACCCTCAGTCCCTGCAAGGGGGTTACCACTGAGCCCAAGTCTCTAACAACAGTTTTTCCCAATGTAGGATTTGCATTTGCTATTATCTCCATGTTTCTCCCTGCCACAGCGCTCTCTATGTCCTAGTGTATCTTCAAGCTTTTCAAATCTACATTGGCTTCTGACTTCATCTATTTTTTGATATTAGCTCTGGTGCTAGGAGATGAGAAAGAGAATCTGACCAAGCCATACATAGTAATAAACGCAGTGGTAAAGAAGCAGGAAGCACATGCCAACACTATAATTTTAGAGCACGGTTTGAATATTATGGCTTTAGGCTAGTACAAGGCTATAGTTATCTCAGAATAAGCGTTGCCCATTTAAGACATGAGGAATTTTGTCAGAGGATAGTGAATCTGTGGAATTCCTACCACAGGGCTGTTGAGGTTGGTTCATTAAGTAATTCAGGGCTGAGAGATTTTTAATCAGTAAGGGAATCAAGCGTTATGAGAAAACAACAGAAAAGCGGAGTTGAGGTTAATTGGATCAGTTATGATCTTGTTGAATGTGGAACAGACTCGATGGACTGAATTATCTACCTTCGCTCCTAATTACAAAAGGTTGGTGAATTTGGCTTTATTTGCATACTGTGTTGAAACTTACGCAAGTTTTTCTTTTTACAGGGTTTCGGAGTTTAAACCCCCCACTCACCATTGTCCGCAAGACATTTGAATCCACAGAAAATCCTGATGATTTCTTACCCTCTGTAATGACCTGTGTTAATTATCTCAAGTTGCCAGATTACTCCAGTATCGACATAATGCGTGAAAAACTTTTAATAGCTGCTAGAGAAGGGCAGCAATCGTTCCATCTCTCCTGATCACAGCATCTGAATCTTCAAGCTGCCTGTTACAACAAATGACAAAATCATGATTTATTTTCTAAGTGTATCACTGCATCAAGGCAATGTGTACAGCGTACTTATTGTAGAAATGGCTTGGGTATGCTGCAAATCTTCAACAAAAAGACTTGGATGGTATATTTATTAAAATAGCCCTTATGGACTGAAAAAATGAAAAAAAGACCCCAAAGTTAATGCAAGATTTAAACAAAAATAAATTCTTAAAGAAGTTCTTGTTAATTTAACAATTATTTGGGTGCAGTTTTTAAATTGCTTTTTTTCTGTGTGGTATTCAAAATCAAAAGAAAGGGATGTTTTTTCTTCCAGGATGACGGAACAATAAAATGTCACTGTGCAGTTTGGTATTGGTGTGTATATCCATCTGGAGCCTACATTTCTGGTGGTTTTTTTTGTTTTTGTTTCCAAAGATTAATATGTACAAACATGCAAAAATGACAGACTTAAACCTTGCATAAAATAATTTAAGCTCTGGTTAGTGTCATTTGCATTTTTCTCTTGTCTATCTTCACCCTCTCTTCCATTTAGTTTGTCCATTTATGTTTAACTCATCTGCACTTGTGTGATGTAACATAGGGTTCTGCTTTTTTGTGATGTTTCTTAAGCAGATAATTCAGCAAATGGTTAAGCCAAGGGCTTGAAGATTTTAAGCATTTCTTAACCTCCATTGGCCCAACAATTGTATCATAGTCTAAAATTTATTTGTTTCCAATATACAAATTCTAGTATTTGCCAGTAGTTTTATTGTAAAATAATAGGACTGTTGGCAGAAGCCTTTAATCTCTCTCTAGATTTGTTTACAGAATGACTTCAGGCAACAATTAACAATACTCAGAAATCCCCTTTTTTCCTTTTTTTAAAACCTATAGTTTAAACCAATATTGGGCTGGTTAGTCTGTTATTCAAGGGACAGGTAGCATTTCCAGTTGGTGTAAAACTTTGAGGAAAGTTCCACTTGCTGTTATGGTGGGACAGTTGCTTTATCTTGTTTAATTTACCTTGTTGTAGTTCACTTGTTTTTTGCACTGCTAGCTTTGAACAAAAGTAATAGTTGAGCTCTCTTGGTTTGATAAGGATAGTGCACCTGTAAACACTGCTCTGTCCAACTGTTCATGTGCTGATTTCTGAAATCTGCAATAACTACTTCATCAGGTTAATGTTTTTACCTGAACATAAATAAATAAAATGTTTGACTCACTTTTTGTATAATTATTTTGTATTCAGCAACCAAACTTTTCTGATTCAGGGATAGTGCCAAAGTGTCTTTTTAACTAAAGTTGTGTTGGAGTTTGAGTAAATAAAGGTGGAAATATTCAATGTGGTTGTAATGCTTGGAACACTGTTGCATTCAGTGGCCCTCTTGATATTGAAACAAATCAAATGTTTTTTTAATTATATCTTTCAATGTTATGATTAGTTGATCTGTCCAGCTGTGAGGACATTATCAAATTTAACTCCTTTACCAGGTTAGATTAATAACCAAATGTTAAAGTGCTATAGTTTAATAACTGCTTGCTGGCCTTCAGACCTCTAGTCCCTCAGGCCTAGCCAGTTTACCTTGATTCTTACAAATTATGGGTTAAAAGTTTTAAAAGTCTATGGGTTTTTTAAGGGAATCTTACATGGATAGGGAGGATAAAGTTACAGCAACTTTAGGTATTCTACTCCCATGTCAAACAAGAAATCAGACTGTTTCAAGTAAGCCTGTTCTCTGAGCAAATATTTTACTTGTGCAGGCACATTTATAAGTTCAGTGAGACCTACTACGTCTGGTCACCCTGACAGGAAGTCCCTGATCAAACAGTTCTCAGTCTGCAGCCAGTTCTTAACTAATAGTGGAATTTAAAACTCAGGATTTAACAGTTCCTGATCTCCGTACAGTCTACTAGGTCTTCCTTGTATACCTAAGGAGATGGATGTCCTGGATACTATTTGTTGGTTTGCACATGTTGCTCTTTTGTGGGAAGGTGGATTATAGTGATAAATTTGTTTTTTAAAATCAACTTTTGAGTATATTGAGCAATGAAATGATATCACACTTTCTCTTTAACCTCCAGCATTTAGATTTCATTATTGTTGCATTGAATTCTAAATTCAAATGAGCTTAAACTTGTACTATATAACCAAGCAACCCTTTTAGTACACTTGTTGCAGTTTTCATCCATTTTGTAAAAGTCACTGTTTTTGTGCTTGCAAAAATATTGAACCATGCAGTTGATGCCAGCCATTTACATAATTTGTTGCTTCATCCCTATAATTTGCCTGTTTTACCTGCCTATTTGGTTCATTGCCTGTTACTTTATGAAACATTAAAAAAAATTGAACTAGTATGTCGTAAATCTGAGCAGATTATTGATTCATATATGGAAAGAAGGGAGATTTTTGTGGTTGAAAGCAAGCCTGTGTACTAATTCTACCATGTGGCCTATGAAAACACTCACTCCATTCTTTGTGTGTCAAGTTTATTCAATGGCCTGCCAAGTGTCAATTGGAAGTTGGCCTTCCTAGCCATCCAATTACTTTGTAAAAATGTTAGCACTTATTGTTAAATGCACTGGTGAGAAATGCGAGTTACGTATCAGCTTACTTTCACCAGTTTAAGAAACTGGTCTGAATATAATGCCTCTTCAAAATTAATTAAAATTCAAGTATTTCAGATTTTGGATTTGCCCAAGGTGAGAATATAGGAATGGAGAAAGGCCATTCAGTCTCTGGAGTACTGTCATCCTAGTTCTTCTCACACCACCATTTACCGAGTTCTTTATTTTTCTATCTCATTTTTGTTTCGCTCCTTCATAAATTAGGTATTAATACAATTTACCTTTTCAATGTTTTGGAAGATTAATGGAAAGTGAGGGGTGATTCTTAAAAACAGTTCTCTTCATCTGTACAAAGTCAACAAGTGGAGGGAACTCTGAAAGTGTTTGGTTAACGCATCCATAGCAATGAATGAAAACGTGAGGAAGAATGCGTCATCGTTAATGTAAGAAATCTTTATATACGTAGGATTAAGATTTTATTTTCAATATTAAAGTTTGTTTTTTAATTTAAATAGTTACAAGTTTATTCCTAGATGTTCCTGGACTGACTATTTACTTAAAAGACAGGATGTGTCAGATCCATATCTCTTGACTAGTGTTTATGGCCATGTTGTGAAATGAGCTAGCCAATTTGAGAAGTGGAATAAGGATAATGAAGCCAGGATGAAAACACTGAAATAAAACTGTGGATGCGGGAGATCTGAAACAAGCAAAACAGAATTTGCTGGAGAAACTCAGCAGGTCTGGCTGCATCTTTAGGGAGAGAAAGAGTTAATGTTTCAAGTCCAGTGACCCTTCTTCAGAACTCTGGACTCAAACCATTAACTCTGTTCCTCTCTCCACAGATGCTGCCAGGCATGTTGAGTTTCTCTAGCAATTTCGTTTTTTGTTCATTCCAGGATGAAAACAAATTGGCATCTGTTGATTTTGAAGGAAGTAATTCTGTTCTGCAGGTCTTGTTCGTTGTAATACATCAATTGTGCCATAATTAATTAGCACCGACAGTTTTTCAGAGAAACGGATTACAATTATCCCAAGCTTTTCTTCAACTCCTGTATTTGTCAGACTTGAAAAGAACTGATGAATGTTCATTAAGTTTCTACTTGGGGAAATGGATCAGGGTTATTTATCTGTGTCTATTACTCAAAGATATTGTGTATTTGGAATTAGTTGAATACAATAAACTGACAAAATTGCAAACCTGTATTTAGATGTCTGAAATCAAACTGCTTTCAGTAATCAATGGACAGGTAAACTGGATAAGTATTTGGGTTGGTTTTGTGTTTCTTTTTAAAGAAAAAAAACCTATACCTGAATTGAATTGGGTTTGCTGCCTGTTAAAAACAGTGTTGGCGATGCCAATGCACCCCCCAGGAAAAATAAAATGCAGATTTTAATTTCAGGTGAATTTACAGGTTTTTGAATCGATCAAATACCTTCTGGAAATAAGCAGCCCTTCAAATTTGAGGAATGCTGTCGGGAATTAGTTTGGATATCGTGACATCATTAACTCTGTTTCCTTGTAATCTCTGCCTGTTGCAATGTTATGACCCAGCACAGCTACCCTGCCTGCTGACCAATTAGTTTAATTGTATACATTAATTGCAAGTTCTACCTTCCCGAATGAGAAATTTTTGTTAATGTAGATGTATCAGCCAGAATTTGTCCCTGCTGTTGATGCTGAGCTAAAATCAAACTTAAATCTACTGGTGTCGTATGCAAAAACCAGTTGATCTCTAAGATTGGATAATTTAAACTTGTGGGTTCATTTGCCCAGTTGGCTGCACAGCTGGTTTGTGATGCCAACATCAGGAGTTCAATTCCCACACCGGTTTGGGTTATCATGAAGGGCTCTCCTTCTCAATCTTGCTCCTCTCTGATTCTCCCTCTCCCTCTCCCTCTTCCTCTTCCTTTCTCTGTCTCTGTCTCTCTTTCCCTCTCTCTCATTCTGGCTCTCCCCTGGCCTCCGAGCCCCCACCCTCTGATGCCACTTTTGCTGCTAAAACCTTAGAATAGTCCCAGTATCTTATGAGCGAAATCCAAGTGGTTCAAGGTATTCACGTGCAATTGCAATAGTGCAGTGAAACCTCCTGGAAAGGGAGTTAGTGGGGGTTAGGAAGAGGTGAGAATACTAACAAAAGTAATTTGCCTAAATTAAGCTTTAGGAAGGAGACTTTGTTTGTTTGTTTGTTTCATGATTGCTAGCGGCAGCATTTCAGAGCCCAGTGTAAACATTGTCCATTTGCGTAGTGACTGAGACTGATGTTGCAGTCATCATTCATTGACTGTGAAAGATTATTCACTTATGATTCAAATGTGATTTACAGTTGGGTTAATATCTTAACTCAGTTGCCAGAGTTGGTTTGAACCAGAGAAAAGTGTAGATTTATCTCTTATGGTCAAGAATGAAGTCTATAATTAAAGTGAATTCTTTTTATCAGGTATTTGATTTAAACCTTTCACTATCCATTAATATTTTATTAATATACTTGTTTACATATAAATTCATCTGCCATTTATAAAATATTAGTTGATACATATTGCGCAAAAGAATATTGCTTCCTGTAACTCTTCTCTGGCCCTTATTTTACATTTGTTCATGCATTTCACCCTTGTAACTAATTATCTCCACTGTCTAGATCTTTCTCAGTCTCTACTCTCCTGCTTGTCAGTGACTCTTGTAATTGACTCCCGTATACTCGGTTGCAGTTCTGGGATGTGTAGTGAATGAATGATGAGAGACTGGGGTTAAATCACTGAAATGGGGCTCTGGTTCAACATTTGGCTGCAATGTATTCAAAATGAAGAGTGAAAATAAGCAGCAGTCTGAGGATATAAACACTTTAACTGCTACTTTACAAATCGGATTGAGTTTGCTGAACTCTTTAGAAGGCGATGGAACAGAATTCATCAAGATTCTCCATTCCAGGAATGCTACCGCTACATTTGTCAGCCTGAGAACTGTGGTCGGTATCAGGCAGGAAACAGGATGGTAACTCATTTGGGCTTTGAATAAGCTGGCACTGAGTCAGTCTTATCACTTTAATACTGATTTCAAGGATTGTTGCACCCAATTAAAGCCAGTAGAAAACCGTCAGGGAACCACCCTGTGCAGAGGATATTTGAAAATAAAGCTAGTCTTCGTAACTATGGCTGGAAGTTTTTTTCCTGAGTCTAATTGAATTTGTATAGTTTACCTGGATGATTTCATTAGTTTTGTGATGGTTGCTGACTGTTAGTAACTTAAATGAATTTTTTTCTGGAAGTCTTAAAATTTTAACGCCAGAAAATTTTCTTGTTTGGGTCCAACGTATCAATGGCCAAAAACACCCATTGATCTGAGGGCAGTGTCCATTGTCTGATCAACTTAAAAGACAGTTTATGCCGTGTGAATTGCTTTAAGGACAATACAGCACTGGAACAGGCCCTTCAGCCCTCGAGCCAACGCTGACGCATTTTGCCTTTTCATACTAAAACTGTCTTCACTTACAGGATCTGTATCCCTCTATTCCCTTGCTATTCCTGTATTTGTCCAGATACTGCTATTGTGTCTGCTTCCATTGCCATCTCTGGCAATGCATTCCAGACACACACTACCCTTTGTGTGGAAAAACTTCTCTCACACATCTCTTTTAAACTCCCCCATCCCCCCTGCAC